AATCCTAATTTAATCATCATCTTCACCACGATCATTTATGTTTATGTTCGCCGAATTGACATGAAAGCACTGACAAATATGAATATACTGTAGTCAACTTCATTAAAACGTTATTAACGTGCCTAAACTCAGTAATTCACCATTTCTACGCATGACAACACACTTTGTCCGTGTTTGGCTCTCTCGCCGCACAGTGAAGCGTTCCCGCATTGACGTCACTTCCGGCTTCCCCCAAAACCTCAAAATGAGTCGAAGGAATTTTCCCGCGATGTTCGAAATTATTGATATTTATCGGAACGGGCTTTTTCTTTTTTAAACTGACGGTTCGAGATTACTAGTAGCCCACTATTTCATTGCACAACAGTTGTTGGGTTCGTGTCACAGGCTCTTTAAGAACATGGACCAATTTGTGGAGGGCTTTCTGCCATCCTGTGTATTCAACAATAAAGGACAGTCAACACATTATTTTGAAGAAAAGGACCCTCTTCTCAGGATGGAAGTTAACATACCTAGTGTGTAAACGTGAAAGCAGCATTATTGATTGATAAAAGTATAAGCACAATAAGTTAACAACACTCTGTTTAACTTCCTGTTAATTCCAGAGTAACAGTTCATTCATTCAACAATTCTTTTTTTCAGCAGCAAAAACGGGCATTTGATGCTACTGCATACATGTTCTAAACATTTACAGCAGTAGGGTAGACTACACATTCCTCAAATTGTGTTTTTTCATAATACCAATGTTCTTTATTATTCATGTGATTGAAAAAATAAAACAAGGACTGCAACGATTCTTCTTGGCCACTAGAGGGCAGCATTGAGTAATGTGAACGTGTAATGATGCTCTCTGAAGGAGAGATGGTCTTTCTCTCTCTCTTTCTCCTTTTGATTAGCATGAACATTCCAAGCTAAAATGTTGCCAATACCGTCAAACTATGTGCAATATGTGCTTTATGTGCAATATATACTTTATATACATATGCCATCTTTAATAACTGTAATATACCGGGCTGCTAAATCCTAAGAACTGCTATGGGATTTGATTTGTAGATTTGATTTGTTTTTGATCTGTATTTTTGAAAATTATGTAACTTCTTTAAGTTTTATTCTTTTTTTAGCATATTGTTTATTATATTATAACTTTATAACTTAGTACTTTTTTTAACGCATGTAAGATATGCAACACTAAGCTGTCTGTGGCTCTTTCCTGCTGTAACGCTGCAAATTTCCCCTCTGTGGGACTAATAAAGGTATTCTGATTCTGATTCTGATTCCTTTATGAAAGGTTAAACTCAACATGCCCTTTTGTTTGACCGTAGCTTCACCCTTCACTGATTTTGCATCACTTGTGTTGTGTTCTTGGCTCTATTTAAAACAGATCACACTCTAGAGCTACAATGCCTGGGGAAGCTTGTGTTAATGTGACATCGATAGAACACCTTTAGATAACTGCATGATAACTTGTTTAGGATCTCAGAGCAATGCTGTTCAGGGCTGTTTGACTGTGAGGTAACACTTTATTTAAGGCCACATCACTTTCAAATAAATGAAACAACAAGCTTAGATATATTAAGTTAACAACCAGAAAGATACAACAACAGATTCAAGTAAACGTTAACAACATCTCTAAGTAAACAGTCTAAAGCGCTAAAGGCCAAAAATCTGCCTAATTCAACAAGAAATATCCACTTAGAAAATATTATTATAGGTATTGTTTTGCCAATGAAATTAAATATGTTATTGATTCTGCATTCAATAGAGTGCTACTTTGATTCTGGGAATGATCAGATAGTGGTCCACTCTTAATGAGGCCTGTGGAAGGTGGGGAGTGATTAGCTTTCAGCCCAAATGGGGAGCTGTTTGTTTTTCAGCAGCTGTGTAGCCGCCGCTCTGCCCACACAAACACACACAATCATAAGCCCATCACTGTAAAGCACCATACACACACACAAACACTTATGCAAGTGTATTTATACAGTGTACACTATCTAAAGTCTCTTATTGTTTGTCGTTTAATGTTTGCAGTTGTTCCTCACTGTTTAATGAACACACAGACACACACACACACGCACAGATGGAGACAATATCAAACCACACACTCCAGCTTTTTGGGACTCCAAGAACAATCAGGCGGTCTGAGGCAGGGTAAAGCTTTTAGGTCTGCACCATTAGCTCCCTTTTAGTGGCCGGGAGGGATCCATCTACTTAACCACGCTGCTTTTCATACTAAGACTTAACAAACAAAGACTCGCCCTGTAGGCTGTTGTATCTCACAGGAGAAGTGTCACAGTGACCAGAGTAACAGTGTGACTGGGGGGGATGAAACTGTTCTGTTAGTTAACCTGTTCAGCTGTATGGATTTACACACAGAATATCACGTTTTCATGACCAGAAGCTTTTCCAGATGATTCATATATGGTTATTTTATCTAATGTTATACTTTCATTCATCTTAAAAGTAACACTATTCATCACTTTTGGGTACTTATTAATGTCTTCAAATATTTCCTGCAGTAATGTGCTATTTTATTTTGAAATGATTCTATCAAGTGTGCATAAAGAATGAGAAAGCTGGGGAACATAATTAATTCCTTGCATTCAGGCGACACATCCGTACAAGGTGATGACAATGCTTGAATGATTCGTTTTTATAAAAACCTTCACAAGTTAAAGTCAATAGCTATATGACGCTTGTAGTGTTGTAACACGTTATCAACACATGCAGACATAACAAGGCTTCTGTTTTAATGATACAACTCAGATTTGTGATTCAATGATCATTTTAGGAATAACTCAACTACTTTATTTCATCTCAGATGAAAATGTTACATCCCTCAGAAAAAGTTAATAAATAAAGTGATACATGTAAACCTTGTTGAAAAAAATAGACAGACAAACCAATATGGTCAGCTTATGTCATTATTTTATTTCTTCTTCAGCGCACATACTATATTCACAACCACATACTATATTTCAGCCTTCTGTGTCAGAGAAACATGCAAATGTCGAAACAACAGTAATTGCTAAAGAACTGCAGCACCACCCAATTGATTATTATAGCACATCTCACAGGACAGACAGTCAATTGGGAACAAATAAAAATTACATCTCATTCCTTTCATTTTGGCATGCAACATGCACAAAAAGCTGTTATTTAAAATCTTAGAAGACTTGCAGTAATTTAATTTATTTTTCATCACACAGTATCAAATCGTTTTTTGAACATTGTCAGATCAAATAACTCCTCTTTATGAATTCTGACCTTAAATAACTCGGTAATTAGACTGATCTGGATAAAACCAACACATTCTGCCATTAACAATACAGAGTCAGTGTCTCACGATACAGCTCTCTAACTGAGTTTATGTTTGACTCCCAGACACAGAGCCAGCTCATTCATCTGGATCTTTCCGTCCTTGTTGACGTCACAGTGACGCAGCAGGACGCCTCGCAGCTTGTCCAGCTCAGGACCGGTGAGATTGGGCTGGAGAGGACAGAAGAGAAAGGAAGTGAGAGTGGAAAGGCTTTATACTTTTAGCAAACAATCTGCACTATGCCAGAGTGGAGTCACATACTGTGTGCAATTTAGAGTTGTTATAAATAGAGCTGATTTTGGCAGGACACCGAAAAAAGACTAAGGGTTGACACCAAATCGCTATGTGTGTAGAAAAGGGAACATTATCAGCAATTTGGGATACTTACATAGATATACAACTATACATTACAACACATTTCATCTTAATGTCAGAAAACATGTTTGCAGAAACTGCAGCACAGTGTCCTACCCTGACCAGGCCCATCATGTCTTTGACAAAGCCGTCCACCTCGGCACCCTCCAGCGCTCCTGTCTTACTCTGACCAGGAAAGACAGAAAAGAGAAAAGACAGAAATTGAGGATTACTTCTTCTAATTCACATCATGATGACATTATTTAGTCGGTCATTACTGTTCCTTGGCTGGGCGTAGGCCTACTCATTGGGTTTATTTGTGGGGCTGGAACACTTTCCTAGCTATATACATGTAAGAATCCTGGAGCGTTTGCATGCTTATCAGCTGCTCACATTACATTTATTAAAATAAACACAATCTGTTGAGAAAAAAGGAATAATTGTAATCCTCCTCCTAACTGCAGTTGTTCACCACTTTTGCTTGAAAGAAGGGATAATGAGAAGTGATAAAAGTTACATGGATTTGCATTAATGCTGTGGTTTTTACACAAAATGCCAACATTGACCCATTCACACGCATCAGGGCTGTCATGCCTGCTTATCATCCCAACTAATGGGCATTCATACACTCACACACCAAAGGAAGTGCCTTCGGAAACAATTTGAGGTTTTGTATCTATCACGCAGAGACTTCAGGGGAGATTTGATACCACAGCCTCTCCCCATGCGGCCAAAGATTAAATCTGTAATTTTCTGACCATTTTAAACCTCTTTTTGCAAAGCTTGAAAAAAGGGCCACTTGCTGTGGTGTTAAGTGTTTCGATAAATGCAGGTGTGAAACATAATTGACGCGCTGAAAGTGACCATAGGACACTTCCTACAAAGGTTTTCCAGACATTCAAATAAAGTGCAGGCAGAATTAATAGGTTTCACATAAGTCCTTCATACATGCACTACTGTTCTGTGAATGAATCTGAAAAGTGAAGTTGTCCTCCCGGAGAGTGACTTGACAACATAATGAGTGCTTTATTCTATTATGTTTCATTATAGAGGGAAGGGAGCTAAGTGTATTTACTGATGTTGTAACAAGTCTTCTTCTGCTCACATTATGCATATTTGAGAGTGCTAATTGGGGATGGAAAATGTTTCCTCAACATAGAATTTCCTTCCGGCTGTTTGAAGACCTTGCTGTGTTAAATGCCCACATGCTCACATACTGCAGGAGAAACGTATGAAAGAGCTGTCATCATCTGTGTCCCACCAGTGTTTTCGTGTACTTACAACATCATAATGTTCAAAGATCTTCGTAAAGTCTCTCTTTCTCTCCTCTTTCCCGCAGGCCTTAGGAATAGAATAGAGGACTTGTGAGATTTGGAGAAATCAGATTATAATAACAGAACAAAATGTTTGAAATTGTCACAACATGATTAATAGTCCCGTCAAATTGTGATGCTTGATAATGACACTAAACTTGGAACTAAGACGATACTTATTCAATACTAATGAGATTAAAAATACGTATTCAATGGATTCCTAATAACTTAATTTTGATTTCATATCTATCGAGGGCAATTTACTGAATTAAGGTTTTATTTATTGGAACACATTTTAAAAGTACAAGGCTATTTATTATGATTTTACTTCTATTCCAATTGAATGTTCCTTCAGTAACACAACCTTTTTTCTAAGTCATTTTGTTCTCTTAGTTTTCATTTGGAGTGTGCTCTTTAACTGCTCTGTATGAAATGATAGAGTCAACACATTTGCCCTTAATTTCAGTATACAGTCATTTGACAAATATAAAGAATACACTTACTTCCATTTGGAACTGGAGCAGGAAATTATCCTCTAAAGCCAAGATCCTAAATGAGGAAGAAAAACATCAAAGAAAACCATATCATCTTTTGAGGTGAAATTGTCAAAACAGTAATTTTTTATATTGTTAACATTTAGCAAAAATAATTTCACGCTATCCGACAGTAGTGTCATGCAATAAATATTCTATTATACAGTATTTGACAGACATCTTAACATTGGAGGGACTTTTTACTGTAAATCTTCTCCCTGCTGGCTGAAAAGTACCTGGCCAAGTCGTTCAAATCCAAAGAGCCATCCTTGCTTTTGTCAAAGATTTTCATCTGCAAGAAAAGAAAGATGTACAGTAGTCCTAATGAGAAACATGACACAAATCTTCACTTATTATGTGAACACTGAGGGAAGACCAACATCTTTTTATAAGTGTTTTAAAGTCTGGAACTGTGTATACCATTGTGTCTGTGTACTCCTCCAATTTATCAGATGACACTTCCTTTTGATGATTTTGAAAGAGATCTTTCAGGAAAGCCTGAAAACAAAAGATAATCATCAGACACTTTTACCAAAGAAGAAGAGGACAAACATCTCAGTGTATGAACAGGAAGTAGTTTCTAAGGGCCGCAGCCATTTTCTGCTAATGTGGTCACTCAGGTCGGTTCCTCATGCAGAAACAAACACGAGTTACGATTCTGCTTTTTGTTAGGCAATTTTACCTTGAGCTCCCGAGCTGATATGTAGCCGCTGCAGTCAACATCGTACGTCCTCCATATCTACAGTAGGCAGGAAAGGGAAATGAACAAATGCTTGCATTAAATGTACAGTGGTGATAAATGGATTTAAACTAGTTATCAAAGATAGTTGTGTTATTTTAGTTCTTGTTATTGAGATACTATAGAGAAAAAACGTTTCGTGCTATTGCTGACTCGAAAGCATTAAAGCTGAAACACAATCACATACACGTAGTTTTGTACATAAGAGTCTTCCAGTAAGAAAAATAATCCGTCAATGACAAGCAAAAAAGGTGAGTTGCAGTCACTTCATTTATGTCTTGGGACCACTGGCATCAGGATACCTCTCCAGTTTTGGTGGTTTTAATACTCCTGTATAATTCTCACTGGTCCTAAAGTTTTTAATTGACGCAATGTAGTCCACATATTCCTAGTAGTTACAAATATTGTTGGATGTGGCTCAACGCTTGATGCATTTTCATATCTAGAATGATGTTTGTTATAGTCTTTGAAACGTACCTTCATGAAGTCAACGCTATTATCCATAGCAGCTTCTCTGCGGAAAATTAACAGGAAGTTCTCATCTTCAGGGAGGATCATATTGGCCAACTGAAAAACAAGGAAGAGGTCAGAGCAGAGATCAGTGTTTGGACAATGCAATTCTGTCTAGCTCTCAATCTGGAAAAGTTCTGTCCACTTTAGTCACAAGTGTACAGCAGTCACAGAAACTCTAGAACAGGTCAGGCTTATCCAGACTGGTCTTATAACTTGATCAGATCAGGGGTCAGTTTTTATTAATGGATCCAATAAAACTATTTTACATTGTCTGTGTCAATACAGTTTGGAGATTATCCTGAAAAGCTAAAGACACTGCCCAGAATACAGGAATATACTGTACTTTTTATTTAGATGATTATCTTTATCGTATGAAGATGGTAGCCTCTTGATCTCTACAAACTAAACCACTGCAGGGCTACATACGAAGAAGGACATGTAAGAATATAAGATTTAGTGTCATTTGGATGTCCAGGGCTACAGCAGCTCCTCCTGGCTCCGCTCCAGTTCATGATGCTCCTCTCTTGTCTGTCCTTTTTTTAATAGTATCAGCATTCCATTAGCTGATTAAACTGGCCCCCATCTCCAATCTATATCACAGGCTGATACTGCGGCAATTTGCCTCAAAGCGCAATGCACCAACATTGATGTTAACTTGATAGGAGCCAGTTTTCAATTAAATGTGTTAAAAAGAGAGCAAGGTTAACAAATGAGGGGAGAAAAAGTTGGAAGGATATTTAGTTAGGCGAGTAGCTACTAAGAGGTTTGACCACACGGTTCATGCATCACTCAGATTGAATCAGACATATATGGAAGATATATTTTCTGGCTTTCTCGAGTAAAAGCAAATGCACTTTGGTCTGCGGGTTAATGCATTACTGTAAGTGATTGGTCGAATGAATGTGTACATTCACTGTTTTTTTATTACACTTTTTTAGAGTAAAAGACAATGCATTGCACTGCTATTGTGCCAAGAGCTGCACCAATTACTCAGAATTGAGGCTGAGGGAGCATTGTCATGAAAAAAGGGCCTTTTATTTCTGGGAAACCACCGCAGCATGTTAAATTGTCAATCAAGTTGGAATTCATTAAATAAACTGCCAAATGAAAAAGACATTTGAGAATCAACAAAAATGATTACAAGCAGTAGTCCTATTTGAGTGTGCAAAAGGATCCATAGGTTGTTTCTTTTAGTTATTGTACCTATTCAGACAAGATTACAGAAGTGCATTAATTGCTGTATAAATTCAGAAGATTGTTTGGTATTAAATCATCTGTGAACTTCTGCATATAATCATATTTAAAACTGTCTTCTCACTACAGGGTGGCTTATCAAGACTATCATCAATCCCCGGAAATACGTTTTCCATCTTCTGCAATATGGTAACAGCGGCATCATTGCTATGGATACATTAGATAAACAGAAGATGAAGAGGAGATGGAAACAGCAGGGAAACAGGGAGGGGGAGTAGAGAAAGAGAACGGGGTAAGTGAAATAGATGAGTTAGAGAAAGAAGGGGCAGAGGAGAGGAAGATACATGTAGAATAAAGAGGAAGTTAGCGTGAGATGGTTTTCAGTGTGCAGAGAGAAACAGAGAGATGTTGACCGTAAGCATAAAGGAGAACAAGTAAAAACATGAGTTAGCAATTTGAGATGAAGAAATAGTATCATACCTCCTGAATCTGTAGTTTCCCATCAGCAGTGACATCATAGGCGGACATAAACCTTTGCTTCAGCCTCTGGACCCTTTCTTCAGTCACTTTCTCCTGTGGACACACAATAGGTTTGGATGACACATCGATTTTTGCCCTAGGTCCACAATTAAACTGGACAGAGACATGATGATGATACAGTACATGATGGGGCAACGTGCTATAGTAAACACAGTTAATTGTACTAAAAAAGATTGGTTTCATAACATTGATTCCCTTTAGCCACATGTTTGAACATCTTGGAAAATAACAATATTAATGGATTAACTGTTAACTTGATGAGTCACAGTTATTTTAAGCCATGTCACCATGGATACTATTTTAAACACTCATTCTTTTTTTTCTCATGTACTGCTTACTCAAGGCTTACTCTCTGTAAAGCACTCATGTAGCTCACTTAGTCTTTAAAGTGCACAAAATAAAATGGATGCACAGGATGTACATCTTCTAGAAGAAGATAACTACAGATAAATTAAATGAAAAAGCAACAATAGTTTGTTGCATGCTAATCTGGGTTAACAATCACATTTCCTTTTCCTGTCAAGACCAGGCTCTCTCTTTTTCAACCACAGCTCAGAAAAGAAAGCACGAAGCAACTCAAGGCAAGATATTTTTCAGCCTTTGTAGTTATTTTGAAACATTTTTTAGAAGCTAATTGCCTAGTCTCTTTGGAAACCATCCATCACCGATCTGTAACTATAGAAACCTGTTGATCTGGGGTGCTGAAGTGTGAATCATGGATTCGTGCAGGGCAGAGCACACAGTCTGCAGATAGCCAGGTGCCAGATCCCTGCTCATTACAGAGACACCACTTTATCTTCAGCATCAGCTTTCTATCAGACTGCACCAGTAATCTCCTGTTGCTAAGCAGAAGTTTGAAGAGCACATATTAATATTTGACTTAATGCACACGATCAACGCAAGGTGCACTGCATAACAAACCCATGTGTTCAGGTTTATATTACAGTGTATCACATGCAAATTCATCAAATTGCATGTGAGCAAATCATTTAAACTGTGGTAATACAAGAAGGTAAAATCTGCATAAATACAGAATATTTTGCCCCAGAGGAAGTTTAAAAAAACATAACGATAGAAAGGAACCATTTGGTAAATATCCCCCAATGGAGGAATAGAGTATAATAGAATGACTGCACCATTACAAATACACAGCAGTACTTATCCTGGGGGCAATTATGATGGAGAGCAAACATTAGAGAGACATGTGGTCGGTGGTCTGTTTGTTTTAGTAAAACCCCATTAGTGTCCGAGGGAGTCCAATCACAATTAAACACACACTGGAACATGGACTAATGGCTGTAGGGATATTTGGTTTCTATTATAACCGGTTGGTGACTTTTCCTTTGACAGTGGCCAGAGCTCTTTAATTGTGTTTTGCCTGACATCGTTAGCTTCAGCTGCCCGCACAGATCAGTGCGGCAGAGTCTGGGTGCAAAGTCAAATGCATTTCCAAGGAACTGATTTAAGATGTAATCTTGGCAAATGGTGTCTTATATTCAATGTTTAACCAAAACAAGATCAATTGGATTACCCTTTTATGCAGATCATTAGATTTAATAGCAACTTCAAAAACAATTGTTGAGTACTACTAGACCAGGCACATGAACAAATAGGAAGATTAGCTAAGAAATAAAGCAACTGTATGTCTTAATTCTCATTCTCAAGTACAGACATTATTCTGAATACTCAAACCAACATCCATGCAGAATTCAAATGTAATTATATCACCTTTCTCACATGGTTTGAACTAAGTGTAGAAAGAGTAAGTTGCTTTGACCCTATCGAGTTGCTGCCTTGTGATTGGGTGATGAGATATTTGCGTTATTAAGCTTTTGAACAGGTGTAGCTAATAAAGTGACTGGTGAGTATATATTGACACAGTAAAGTAGCATTTTCAAATACAAATGATATTGCGGTGCGTGTAACACTAAATGGCTGTCGTCACAATTTATGGATTAATTCATCCAAAGTAGTCTCACCTGTGGACCCAGTTTCTTCATCATGTGACGGAAGAAGTCATCAAGCTCTTTGTCCTCAATGTAGCCATTATCTGTCAAATAAAAAATATTTTAAAGACCAAGTGAAGAGAGTCGGATTCCCCCCCCAAAAAATCCCAAATTTCCCAAAATTGGGATCAATAAAGTACTATCTTATCTTAAAAATACTGAGTAAAAACCATAGGTAAAAACGTATGAATTCACTTCGCCACCCGATCACTACACAATTATTTCCATATTCTAAGACTTATAAAGGGTTGCTGCTCAATGTTCCTGTGCACTTTCCCTTTTATAATCACCCTCTTTCAGATTTGAGACATATGTACATTTATATTTTTTTCAAACAGAATTACATAGGGTTGTACTCTCTTCAAATATAGTACCAGAGGACATAGTTATTTTGCAATGTCAACAAGCATTTTAACCACAAGAACTTCAATTACATCCAACAAGAACTCAAAGTAGTCATCACAGAGAAGGGTTGTCTGTCTAGTGACAGCAGAAGATGCATTTGAAAGTACTGTGCTATCTGTAGATGAAGAAAATGGATCAAAAAGTATGAACAGTTTAAATATCCTCACCATCTGCATCAAAGTGTTGCCAGATTTCCAAGAAACCAGCTGCATCCAGGTTATCAAAAGCAGTGTCCATGTTGATAAGGAAAGGCAAAGTAAGCTGTCAACTGAGGAGTGAGGTGACAAGTTGTGTTGCACTGTTGGATGCTTGGCTGACATATGCTCTTGTGAAAACCACACCTTCTCTGGGTGAGTGACAGAGAGACACAGAGAGAGAGGGTACAGTATGCCGTTGGATTGTATTTGCCATCTGGTGGCTGCATTATTAAACTGCAAAGCATCTTCAACAAATGTTATAAAAAGAGAATGCAGAGATTAAAAAGCTTGTAAAATTATTTTAATCAATATTATTTGCATGAAGAAATGTCCAACAACAGCAGAATGACTTAATGAAACATTGATCCGTGACAAGATGGAACAAATAACATATCCAGACTGATAAATAGCAAACATGTCATTTGCATTTTATTTTTCCAGCTCAAGGAAAACTGTCATTGTTTTGCATCATTTATTTTTTGAATCATAAAGAAAGAAACATTAAATTGATTACATGTCATAACAAATTAATACATACACATAATTAATTTCTACATTTATCAACACAATGTACATGTGAAAGGAAAAACAAAGGAACAAGACATACATGGCCACTGTGTTTATTCCAAATAAGTTACAAACAAACCCCTAGTATAGTAGTGTACTTAGTAGCAAAACAACATAGGATTTGCCGTGTTCACATAGGCGTGTGAATGCATCACAGTGTGTATATTACACACACATATACACACTCCTACATGTATGAAAGCACATATATACAAACAGTACAACTCACATCATGCAGTCATACACATAGACTCAGGAGTCTGGACTCAATGCTACTTTTCACTTTCTCCACTCCATGCACCAACAGAAATGAAACTGATTCTCATTTTTCTGATTTGAAGAGATCAATCTTTCACAAAACTTGACAGAAACACAGCCAGCTGCTTCTGAAATCCCAAACAGAGAGAAGAGGGTTTTCACGTTATTTTAGTACATACTGCAAAGTAGTTTTATTTTCTCCCCTGTGTCCTGGAACATCTTTCAAATTAAAATTGATTTTTGAGACAGACTTAAATCGAAGCAGTTGTTGACATCAGACACTATAATAACTATTTACAACAGTAACAGTGTTATTTCCCGATCCATAATGAGTGACAAAGAAACAGAATGTTATCATAATAATCCTACAAAAAGACATCGATAGACACCATAGGTAAAGGTGCACCAGTAAGACCTTTGGCCCTGACTTTATTTAGGCTCAAAATACAAGTTGTGCCCCTTTCATACTGCAAATGAAAAACGATGTCAGGTGCACGTTCAGTATTAATGCTGGAGCACAGTTTGCCACACAACAACTAGATAGTCAAAAAGTAAAAAGGTAATTCCACAGTGTTTCATTTCAAAATAAACATGAGTTGGATTCAAATATGTGTTAAAGTGGTATAATGCTGCATTCACATCATAATGGCAAAGTTGATTTGGTAAAAAGTTTAAATATACTCTGCATTGGTAAAATAGCACTATAGCAATTTAATTGACAAGAGGAATCCACGTTTGTTAGTTTTTAAAGTATAATACCAGAAAAAATCCAAGATTCTTATTTATAATTACGACTTGAATAATTCTGATATTTTTTGGGTAATGAAGGTAACTAAAAAAAGACATGCAAACAGCATGTTAAACAAATGTGAATGAATGTCCGTCCTAACCTGCGATCCAACATTATTATAACTGCATTACTTTCATTTAAAGGTTACAATCCAATGCTAAGAGTCAAAACTGCACATTGATGTATACGTTGCCACACATCTCAGTTACCATTTCTTAAAGCTTTTCTCAATTAATGATAAGATGAATGCTTTGCACATATGGTTATTTTGGGGATCTGTTTGTTGACTACCTAGCAGTGTGAAAAGGGCATTTCTTGCACTTAAAAGACAAAGATAAGAGGAGTCTGCCTGAGACTTGTTGCTGAGGAGCAAAGCAAGGTCGGCAGTGTTTGAAGGCTGGAGTTCCCTCAGTGTCGCGCTTTTACACAAAGATCACACAAAATAGCTTCTGAAATGGAAAGCAAATGTCAGTGTTTTTTTGTGTTCCTCTTTTTGAATAAGATCTTTGTTTTCATTGGATCATCAGCACACCAGGGGAATGTAATGTACGTGTGAGGAATCAATCCGTCTTTAAGAGCAATTCAGAGTTTCTATGACTGTGAGAAACACTGGCACACCTCACAGTTCACTTTAAAAGTCTCAAGTGAGTGTACCAGTAAAACAATTAAGCTATTCGGTTTTGTTTACTTGACAAAAAAACCCCACTACAGACATGTTTATGCTGGAACTCTGTATTGCACTTTAATGACAGGCGTCTACTAGACACACTTTTTTCCAGTGTCTTAACACAGAGAACAGTGTTAGTTAACAGTGCTGGAGCCTTATTGGTTGGTTTTTAGTGAAGTTAAAGTGTACCACAGTCCTCTCAAAGCAACACTTCATATGGTCACTCCAACTCTCCTACACAGAGACAGTATCCTTCAGGGAAGAGAACAGTGAGTCTCCTCTTAGTGACATGTAGATTATCTGTTAGGCAAGCTACATCAAGTGTATATGTTGATTGATGATGGGCTGAGATTCTCAGCTGAACCTGTACTATCCTGGAAAATAAATGTCAAAGAATTGCATAATGGATTCAGTCACCTCTGAAGTCCGGAAACAAGTAACTTGCACATACTGAAAAAATAACATGTAGAAAAATCTATACAAATGCCATTGGGGCCTGGTCTGGTTGTATGTTGGAGTTCAAGTACAGAACAGTGATCCTGGTGATGTTGTTACATGTGTCTGGTCCCTGGGAGACAAGCTAAAACAACAACAACAACATGTTTCATTATTAGTCAAAGACCATGAGTATTTTCAATAAACACTTTCAATGTCTGTCTTTTGCACATAAAGTCTGCTGGTTCCTGAAGCATCTATTTTTTTTTTAGTGGTTTACAAAGGTTTCAGTATTTATTGGTTGTATATGCTCGGTCCCCCTAGGAAACATTTCTTAATATCCTGAAAACGTTATCTTTCAGAAACATGAGATTTTATCTGAAAGCAAAGATAAGGAAGCTCTAAGGAGAATTAGCACAGTTTGGTTTAATAGGTGACATGTGATGGAACATCCCCCCCAAGTGTTAATAATAATTGTTTTATCATAATTACCAAACTTTTAATTTGAAACTGTGTATTACCTGATATATTTCAGTAGGTCTTCCTGCAAACCAAACTAGATGTGTAATATAAATGAAAACATATCTTTAAGATTCCCACTTAGTTGCTTTTTAAAGGAAAACATGTCAGTCTTGTCAACGGATTTCTGTAGTTTTTTGTCTTACTTATATTAAAATAAAGTCTTTATCTGCCTCCTCCACAGAGTCTGATGACTTATTTCCCGCTGCCTTGTCCTTGTCTTGTTTTGGACATTGGTCCTTCATCTTGAAGGAGCCGTGATCCTCAGAGTTGACACGGAGACGGCCAGGTCGCTGAAGGGAGTCTGACACCGTGCCTTTCCTCACTGAAAGCAAGAGGAAGGTCAAGATGAAAAGGACAGACAGACTATCGACCATTTTCGAGCAAGAGGAAGGAAGGGGGAGAAGTGAAGAAGAGAGGGAATCTGGAAATTATGGATTATTTTTAGATGAAGCTTTTTTTAGTTACTGCTGCAGTCAGCTAATTTGCCATAGCTAGCCTAAAAGTCAGTTGAAAGTGAAGCAGGAAGGGATTTAAAGCACCTCAATCACACCTGCTTTTTAACATTGAGGACCCAAATAGCAGACCCAGAGGGCTGAAAAGCAACCTAGACAAGACACATGCAGCCTACTCACTGTGTGTATAAATGGACATTGTTAAAACTGCCCCCTCCACTTTTTAAGTCTCTCTGGATTTATTCGATAACAATTTCAAAAGAAATTCTAATTTGTTGAAGAGTGGGAATTATGGCTATAAACATGAATAAGATGTGTTTACCTCTGACAGGCCCCAGAGGGTGTCACTGATAACAAACACGGGAAGGAAGAAGGAGCAGAGAGAAGAAAGTCTAACCAAAGAGAGGACGTATATAAGAACATCAGAGGGAAGGGAGCAAAGACAGACAGACAAACATCCCCAAGCTGCCAGGCTTCTGTTACATAATAGATACGACTGCTGTCAGACACTGACATCAAACATCCTCCTGTCTATCTAGGAACAATCTGCTCTGGGCAAAAGACAGTTTCCCAGTCAAAAAGAGAAAAGTGTGTTTGTAAGAAGATGACATCTAGATGTGTTATCTATTTTTAATTGCAATGCAGTTGAACTCTTTATTCTTTTCATGAACACCACTGCATGAATGGGCTACCTGGAGATAGTCAAAGATTTGGTGACCCACCATCCTGAGTGGTTTTGTTAGCAGAGCCTGCTGACTGCAGACCGGTCTGGCCTTCTTTCTCTTTCTCTGACACTGTATTCTTCAGCGTGGAAGGAAGAACTGAGACCTTAGGAGACCCAGGCCCACTGCTTGGAAGATCTGAGATATCATCTGTAAGGAAAATTATAACAAAAATATTCTCAACTTGTCATTCATCCATCCATATATTCTTGCAGGAAGATGAAAAATGAATCATGATAGCAAAAATCCCCTCGGTGCGGCATTAGCTCAATGTCGTACCTATGCTCCTGCTGGTGCTGCTGGTCCTGGGCTTCTGTGGGATGGTGGGCCGGGCAGCCAGAGCAGGCTTTGCTCCCTGGGGGACCGGAGGTTTGGGACTGAATGGCCCCCCAGGGGAACTGGAGGAAGACGTAGCCCTGAGACGAGGGGCCCGGTCTGGCTTGTTCTCTGCACGGGGAGAGGTCTTCTCTGGAGAACCAGTCGGGGAATCAGGTTTATTATTAGAGCCACTGGAAGACCTGCTTTCTGAATTGGTTGGCTGGGGCTTGGCTACTGACACAAAAAACAACAACAAAGAAATAAGTCAATACAAAAATGATGTATAGATGGATTATTATGTTCTGTAAGAAACCAAACAGAAAAACTTGAACAGCGCACTTCATTATCAAACTAGTGTTCCTGAATTTGAACAGACGCTGCCTCAGAAAGAAGCATTCAAATAATTGAATTGGACAGGCTGTAGGTCCTCGTTAATTATTATTATTTAAAAATATCTGTATTCCTTGTTTATCTCAACAGATGAAACAGCTTACCTGTAGCATTGCTTTCTGGCCTGTCAGGGCTGGAAGACTGGAGGAGACAAGACAACATATATAAATACTTTATGCATTAAGTCAGAAAAGTAAAAACTATTATTATACTATTATTTTGTATTCAAATCTTTTAAACGTATAACTTGATTTCATGAGATGAATCCTAGTAAGCACACATATTGTAAAACATATTTAGACCAATCTCTTATTAAAAATAGATTGGTTGCATTCAATGTCTACAATATTTTTAAGTTTAGTGCTTTGATTTGAGCAGAGATACTACACTGAACAAAAATATAAACGCAACACTTTTGTTTTTGCTCCCATTTTTCATGAGATGAACTCAAAGATCTAAAACATTTTCTACATACACAAAATAACCATTTCTCTCAAATATTGTTCACAAATCTGAAAAAATCTGTGATAGTGAGCACTTCTCCTTTGCCGAGATAATCCATCCCACCTCACAGGTGTGGCATATCAAGATGCTGATTAGACAGCATGATTATTGCACAGGTGTGCCTTAGGCTGGCCACAATAAAAGGCCACTCTGAAACATGCATTTTTGCTTTATTGGGGGGGTCTGGGGGGGTCCGAAAACCAGTCAGTATCTGGTGCGAGGGTTAGGATTAGGGTTATGTTGTGAATCGAGTGGCCCATGGTGGTGGTGGGGTTATGGTATGGGCAGGCGTATGTTATGGACGATGAACACAGGCCACTCGATTCACAACATTACCCTAACCCTAATCCTAACCCTACACCAGATACTGACTGGTTTTCGGACCCCCCCAGACCCCCCCAATAAAGCAAAAATGCATGTTTCAGAGTGGCCTTTTATTGTGGCCAGCCTAAGGCACACCTGTGCAATAATCATGCTGTCTAATCAGCATCTTGATATGCCCAGCTGTGAGGTGGGATGGATTATCTCGGCAAAGGAGAAGTGCTCACTATCACAGATCTTTTCAGATTTGTGAACAATATTTGAGAGAAATGGTTATTTTGTGTATATAGAAATTGTTTAGATTTTTGGGTTCATCTCATGAAAAATGGGAGCAAAAACAACAGTGTTGCGTTTATATTTTTTGTTCAGTGTAAATGTACAGGTAACACTGAAAAGCACCATCCAAACACAAGGGGGCGCCTTTGTGCCAGAAACGCTCAGGATAAAGCTTCCCCTCTCCCACATACAAACACACACTCACTTTGTATTAATGACCCACCTCCTGAATCACACACACACACACACACACACACACACACACACACCTGGAAGCCAGCCAGCAACAAGCAGATGGCAGCTTTAGTGCCACTGATATAAGGTCAGAAAAAAACCCTAATGCTGCAAACACCATAACCCTCTTAGTGCACGCTCACACACACAAAGGGAACTTACACTGTAGTAACACAACACTCTTACAGATGCTAAAAGAAACTCGTATTTCAATGACAGACTCACAAATAGTACACAAAACATACAGTCATGGCCCTTACTAAACTCTGTGCATGTGTGTTATCTTACTTATTCCCCCCTTACTCTATTATGACCTTTCTTTAAAAGAAGGATGTGGGCATTTTAAATAGGAGACATTTTCCCATCACATTTATGTCCTACTTTGCATATTAGCCTTCTTTCTCGTCTTTAATCTGTCCCTTTACTGTTCATGCCTCCATCTCTTCCACTCTGCACTTCCCTCATTTCACCTTGTCTTGTAGAAGAAAATCCTGGTTGTTTGTGTTTTAATGTCAACATGTTGACAGGCGCAATGACTAGCCTGAAGATAAACACATGTCTCAGCATCTGTGCCTGTGTGTGTGTGTGTGTGTGTGTGTGTGTGTGTGTGTGTGTGTGTGTGTGTGTGTGTGTGTGTGTGTGTGTGTGTGTGTGTGTGTGTGTGTGTGGAGGTTTCCTTTTTGTGTGTTCTCCCAGCTGGAATCCACATTGAGTTTTGAATAGAAACAGCCAAGTCGAGGCTGAACACCTACAGCACTTTATTCCTTAAACCAAATCACATGTAATATCTCTCGATAGCTCAATGTCAAATCACTATCATACATTAAAAGCTTAATCCTTATTTTTATAGGGTTTCGGGGAGGATTCACCATTCATATTCGTTTGATATTTTCAGAAATAGTCATAATCATCCATTTTTTTTATAGATATTATAACTTGATTCCATGGTCCTAACATTATTCATTCAAATGCTCAACGTTTTACTGTGATCTTTTGTATTATTATTTAAATTTTTTATTCTATTTTGTCTTTATTTTTACCTTGTGTGAATCCTGCTTTTAACTCTGACCCCGTTGCTGATATAAACGCCTGAATTTCCCTAAGGGGATAAATAAAGTTCCATCTTATCTTATCTTATTCCAACCTTACATTTTTCATGAATTGTTAAAAAGTTGACTATCATTTATTTTGTCATCTGCTGTTTGTGATGTTTAGAAACAACAGCCAAGCGCACTGTGTAACTGTTCCCTGGTGCAGACTCACACCACCTCACCTTGTAGGCTCTCCTCTCCTGCTTGGCCTTCATCTCTGCCAGGAGGCCACTGCCCATCATCTGCAGCGCCGGGTACCTCCGGCCCCCCTGAGGACTCCACCTGCCGTCTAAACACTCCCAGGGCTCGTCCATAGAGTCGGGCGTCCTCAGCTCCTCGGAGCGGTCGGAGCTGCTGCTGTAATCTGTGGGCTGCGAGCGGCTGGAGGCGTCTCTGCAGGAAGACAGGAGTCAGTAGAGAATCAGACTTGTCCATTGAGACTAACTTAGTCAGTGGGGGATATTTGTTCTATACCTGGACCTTGGCTCAAGCGCAGGGCTCTTCAGTGCCACCTTCGGAGAGGACGGCTCCTCAGGGATAGTGGCTGGTGCCGAGGCTGAGGATGTCCCCGGGGCAGCAGGGGTGGCCTGGTTTTTCTCTGACTTGTCTGATTTCTCAGATTTCTCAGATTTCTCAGATTTATCTGCTTTGTCAGATTTAGTGGAACGTTTGATAAGGTTGAGGAATCCACCTTTCTTCTTCTTCTCTCCATCTTGAGATTCTGAACCCTTGGAACGTCTGAGAGGAGACAGAACGAGACAAAATACTTCAGAGATGAGTACCATAATTTAAATGTCTTTTATGAAAAACTAGATTCACTACATATGGAAAACAATCAAGTTGCAGTTTACTCTTACTGTAAGTCTGTCCTGATGTGGTATATGTTATAATTAGAATATTCATACATTTTGGTAAAAAAGAGTTAGGGTAAAACTTTTGGAAAGAACGGATGGAAAACTTAAAAATACAGGTAAAGCATAAGCCTTACTTGGAATCCATCCTGGTGACTTTTGTAGAGAAGAACTCGTCGACACCCTCGTCCACCCTTCCCATGAGGCCATTCTGCTCCCCATCCTGAGATGGAGCGCTGTTGATTTGCTGAAAGAGGACATTGAAGACAATTATTCCATGTATGGACCATCTGAAACACAAAATCTACTGTTTCCATGAGTATTTGGTGTTTAGTCCACAAATGTTTTGTTCTTTCCTGCAAGTAAATAAAATGTAACCTATTTCGGGGCTATTTATGTCTTAAAAAATGAACATATCAATGCAAAGAGGCAGAGCTTTACTCACAGGTATTTTGCTGGAATGCTTTTTCTTGTTCCGGCGGGGTCGTAGTTTGGTGAAGTGCTGCAGCTTTTTCTCCTCCTCAGACGGCAGCTCCACCATCCCTCCTGGCGGTCGGTGCTCCAGTTTGGGAAACATCTGAGATGGAGTTGTTGGAGTTTTAGAACTCTCCTCCACAAGGACAGGGACGTCCTCCAGGGCTCTGTCCAGGTCAAACTCCATCTCTGTGGGTTGGACGGTCATTAGGAGGTTTGTAAGAAGACATAGATTAAATGTTAGTCACCAGGTCAAGTGGCAACAATATTGAGGTATGTCGTATAACATTTCAAATAAAAATAAACAAAAGTAATGGAATGCTTACCAAAGGCACGAGACACCGGCCGAAGCATTCTGCTGTGGATGCTCTTCCTCTTGGTTTTAGGAGTCATCTGAAAGAAGTTAATAATATTTAACACAGATCTGTTAACAAAATATCAAAGCTAGCTATCTAGCTAGATTGTGTCCAGAGTTTATTTGTTTGCTATACTTGATTATATAGAGTGCCAATTTGCACTAATATCAAACTTAATCCTAATAATTAAATATGAATAAACTCTGGAGGGCATTATCTATTATAATTGGTACATCTTATTATATTTATTTTATATACAACTTATTCAACTTTCACACACGGGTAGCATGTTAACAAAGTAGCACATGTTGTATATTATATTGTACTGTGCTCCATATTTACAAGCTGGTGATGACAGGCATAGTGCATCAGTGGAGAGAAGCAATGTAGCCGAATGCATTAAGATAAATAAGCATTTTTCCAACATCAGTACTCGCCAATGTAAATTAATTTACAGAGTGAGGGTGTGAAGAAACATGGGTCCCTCTATACTAATTGTGTCGTTTTTTTAGCTTACCACGATTAAGATAAATAACCGGGATCAAATATATTGTACCATGAGACTGACTGTAGATAAAGCTACAGCACAGAGAGCTGAAGAGCAGGCAAGCACAGTGATAAGAGACAGAAAAGAGAAAGCAGTAAGATGAAAAGAAAGTGGATTGAAAGGAGAGTGTAGAGCGGCAGTCCAGAGTTACTTACAGTGGTGCAGCACAACATCTCCATGGAGCAAAGATGGAAAGAGAAGGAAGAACAGAGGAAAAGAAGAGCACAGAAAGACAACACACAGTAAAGGCTGGTGAAGACAAAAATTAAAGAGATAGCTGGGGTACCGGTTCATTTAAAACAGGAGAAAGTAGAGATAGATAGGACAGGGAGGGATATAAGATGAAGAGAGGGGTAAAACTAGAGAAACAGACAGGACCAGAGACTAAAAGAACATGCAGCTTCCTGTTCAATGCAGCCTGTATTTAAACTCATACTACAACATATCTACATTAAAATGAGGAAGAAAGCAGAAGCAACTATTCCTCTTCTCAAGATACAGGAAATGTTCAAAAAGGTTGAATAAACTTGAATAAACAGTGGTAGGTGAAGTTAATCTTAATTTCTTTCAAATATTTCACTCAGTGTCCTCCCTTCTTTCCTTCTTTCTAGTCCCGGAGAGTATACTACTACACGTACTGTATACATGTTAATGACAAGTTCTTTCCAATTGTCATTCTTCTATCACATAATCAAATCTGACAAGTATTTTGGAAATATGCTTTCATAGAGTACAAATGATATAACCTAAACAGCCAACTATTAAAGCAAACGTTGACTTGAGGAGGTTCTTTAAATGAATGCCAAAATCCCTTCTCAATTGTCTTTAGCAAATTTAGATTTTCCTGAAGGACTTTTTTTCAAGTAGATATTAAGCTAGGTGTAATTGCTTCTTTCATTCCTCTCATACAACTAAATGTGCGTTCAGGGCGCTTGGATATACATATTTTTTGTAAATCAAGTTCCTTGAAAAACAATTGATAAATAATAAACACTGGACGGTTAAACACACATTTCCGCCCAATCCTACCATGCAGGTCTCCAGATCCTCCAGCCTCTCGCCCTCCAGAATCTCGGTCGATGCCCGTTTAGGAATCTTCTCCTCTGGGACGTCAAGATCAACGGACCCCTGCTGCATCAAAGGGCGACCTCGCCGCACCAGGTGGTCTGCCTGGGAGGAGAAAAGTGGAAGAAACAGGGAGAAGAAAGAGAGAGAGAAGCAAACGTAGGATGAGCAGGGAGTTTCAGAGAGATTCAAACTTAATGAACATGCCAATGCAACCAAAACAATTGCAAAACTAAAATTGGAAAAGGTTAATAAATAAGTGTGGATGCAGCTGTAAGAGCGAATAGATTTTCAAATGAACAGTTATTGTTAATAATTCAATGAGCCATTTGAAAGCATTGTTGACTTTAATCTTACCAGAGTGAGTTGGGAAGTGGAAAGAGCTTCCAAAATCTCATCAACAATGCGATCAGACAGGAAGGATGCTAGACTCAGCTTCACCTCACTGACACAAAAAGAGAAGGAGAGTGATGGTGAGGTACTGCAGCAAACCACCTGTGAAATCCAGGTTTACATGTTCTCAATACTATTCAACACACCTGATCTTGTTGATGATATCCACCCCAGACTGCTCCAGGAGGGTTTTGGTGACAAAGCTTTTGGGTACGACCATCTTGGCTGAGCTGGCCTGCATTAGCTCTGGACGAAGAGTACTCCTCTTCATCACATGGGGACACAGAGACTCTGCTGCATCCACCATAGACTCCAACAGAGTCTGGAGGGCGCAAAGATAACAGATTAATATAGGTAAATGTGTGTATGATGTGGGGTTTGATTTAAGTCAATTCCTGGCAGACAGATTGAGGAAATATCTCTTTATACCAGCAAGTAATTTATAACAAATTGTCACTTATGGAAACAGCCTTGGCTTTCTAGTTTAGATTTTATTTATTTTATCTGAACATAGATTTAACCATTTTATATTAAATCACTAAGTAACTAACATTTTTATATTAACTGATTTTCTTTTGGTGCTGTGTGTGATTTGAAGTCATTTCCTTTGCTTTAATGGCTGTATTCACTGCCTGTATGTGGTGCATTTCTTTAGTTTTCCTTGTATTGATTACAAACATACACTGTTAACCACAACTACTGTACATGATAGACTTTGAATTGTTTTAATTGTTAGAATGATATCCAAGGTAATGAGTCAAAAATAAAGTCACATTCAACATTTTGTATTTAAATCCTTTTGTTGTGGCTACCTGCAGCTGTTGGTCCATGACACTGGTCACCTCCCCAGCCATAGACTCCAGTTTCTCCTGGATGGGTCCGGCTGAGGAGCTGTTCACCTCCTCTCTAGCAGCTGATCCTAGGTGGTACAGGTTAGGGAGCAGCTGAGGGGAGCAGAGAGGACAACGAAGGAATTCAAAGGAATGTAGAAAAGCTAAGCATGTAGATAAAATAATTGAATTCACATGAATCAGCAAAGCCTATGGAAATGATGCATCTTCTCACCGTTTTAGAGTTCCTGGCATCTTTGATAAGGTTCTCGGCTGTCCTAACGTCCTCCAATATGACGTCTGTCTCAGAGTTTCTCAGAGAGTTCAGATGGTCCTGCACCTTCACACAGATTCTGTCAATCATCTGAAACACAAGAAAGTTTGTTTTTGAAAGGCTTAAACTACTTACTGTTAGGATACCATATTAGTTCCTAATGAATAAACAAATTAACATAAAGTTCAATGAAACATATCTTCGTCCTCCTCTCTCAATACTAGACAAAATATACTATTGATCTTGTGCATAAAAAGTTAATGTTAAGTAAAAGTTCATGTCCTAATTACAGTTTTTGTTACAATCAGACCTACTAATTCAATAATCACCTGTTGTGTGGTGGTGGTCACGATGCCCTGCTGCAGCCGATAGGCCTGTTCCTGCAGGTACTTTCTGGTTTCATGGTTCCTGTACAGATAACTCTCAATCTGGGGGGGAAACACAACGCCACTGTCATGAATATACATCAAAGTGAAAATGATAAACAGCAACAGTTTTTCCCTAAAGCTGTTGCATAGAGACTTTAAAAGTCCTGTTCACAGGACAGCTGGGGGCACCAATGAGAAATGTAAACAAACCTTTAGCAAGGCATCCTCAGTTTTTTCAGGGCTGGCCTTCAGAGCCTGCGAGGCATCGATGATGGGGATGGGCATGAAACGAATTGTGAAGTTCCTGATGGACACACAACCAGGGGAGAGGACATTATTATTCCACAGTTGGTTCAGATTGAAGAGGAAGTGAAAGAAGCAAAGATTAGAGTAGGAAAATGAAAATCACAATTTGTGGTTTGTAATATTACTGACTGTAGAACAATAGTCAACCAACTGTAGTGAAATGCATCCACTTGTGGTATTTTAGAACACCATAATTTATAATTTAAGTAGTCAATATCTGAACACCTAATTTATTACTAGGATAACTTGCTGTCATTAAGGTTATTGAACCATGACATATACAGTAATTATATGCCAGGGTTCATTACCATTTTTAACGAAAGTGTTCTTGTATGTGTGTGTGTGAGTGTGCTAGTGTGTGCATGTGTGTGTGTGTGTACACGTGTGTATGTGTGTCTGTGTGTGGTAGCATTGCTTGGGGCCCAGCATTTCAGCTTCCGTCACATTGGTCTATTATAGAGCAATGAACTGGGACCATTAGCGAGGTTACTGATCTTGAAATAGAGGTTACTGCACATTATTAATATTCATATCATGATGAAAAGTAAAGCAGAAGGCACAGAGAGATGAAAATGATGGTGTTTGAAGGCAAAGGAAAGGCAAGAGGCCGAGACAAATGTTGATTGATTTTGACCTTAAACGCACACTGATTCATCTTTACTCAGATATTCCTGGCTTCATGGCAAATACAAGCACACACCGATGCACTACGAAAGGAAACATAGTTCTAAAGCAGATTTGACTTCTATATGAACCCGACAGCTCTTTTCCCTCGACTCTTATAGTCAGATCTGGTGTGAACATGGCCTACAAATTACTCTCTCCATCACCTTAAAAAATATTCCTTTGATTTGAAAACCACATAATTACTGTTCTGTTTTTTACCTTCCTCAGCAGCTCATCACATGTCCTTCTATTGTTTGTCTCCTTCCTGTCATCATCTCTCCTCTTACTGTCTAAACACACCTCAAGGTTTCCTCCTGCTCAGCCTAAAGCCAAATGACAACTGAGGTGCAACAACACATCCAATCCCTCAGCAGCTTTCATGTAGCACTCCAGTGTATGTGCTGTTAGATTAAAGGTATAAAAGTGCACTGTAGCCTTTACATGTTGTCAACAGACAGTGTTTATCATACAGGTATACATGTATATGGTAGGCATACAGGGACCCAGTTTACACAGATTCAGAAGGAGCTACTTACTTCTCCAGAGCAGCTGCTACATCCTGGAGCCCCTGAGGACTGGTGTTGTTCCTGTCCCAGATCACAGTCCTGCACAGACAAACACACGCTGTGACACAAGCAAAGAAGGAGCTAATCATTTCAGAGAGAAACCTACAACCACTGACAGAGTAAAGGCAATAGGACACTGTGAAAGTGCAGTCTCATGTTATGTCTTCTATTGTTTCCTATTCAGGTAATTATTCAAACATTAATGAACCATAAAAAAGCATAGATGGGTTTTAGCGGACACAGGGTAAAATAAATGGCAATATATATGTATATAACTGCACTGTTGTCCATTATCATTTTTATGTATGACATTGTGGTTATATTGGAGTAAGCACTCATGCGGCAAGACATTTATGTCCTTTTTATTAGTTCACACTTAGTTTAACCTCTATTATGTAGTATTTAAAGACAATATATTTTATTTAAGAAATGGTTCGTCACTTAAGGTGTTTTAAATAGAAATAAGTGTTTTAAAATGCATTAAAGTCAATAACTTGGTGGTTAACCAAACGTGGATGCTGTTGTCTCAACAGTTCAGTGCAGTTGTAATTATATAAAATATATCTTAATAGAAAAAATATATATAATGTTGCATTATAAACAATAAAGAAATTGCGTATATATCTGGTAACAATAATATTATAGTGTGTTTTAAATGTCTATATAAATAAGGTTTGATTGAATGATGAAGTGTTAACTTTTAAAATGGGATGGTTTCAAAGTAAAGTGTTCCCATTTTATTTTTGTCGAGGTTAAATTATTAAAAGTGGTGTCATGAATTCTCAGCATGTCTAAAACATGTATTCAAAATCTAGAACTGCAGAAGAGCTAGTAAAAGATCAACTCTATTGTTATACTTCTAATTGAAAATCATTTAATATAGCCTTTGACCCCTGAACATGTCCTCACCTGAGTTTGGAGTTGATCTGTAGCGCCTTGGCCAACATCTTGGCTCCCATGTCCCCCATGGCATTCCCGCCGATGTCTAACCTGGTGAGAGAGGAGTTGCTTCCAAGGGCGTTCAGAATGATGGTCAGATCACTCTTCAGCCTCGAGTCCGCTAGAGACAGAGAGGTGAGGGGCTGGGAGGGGAGGTGGGGTTGGGAGAGGAGAAGAAGAAACGGTGTTGGGTTTGTGAAAGTTTTAGGAAAGCAAGACTGCAGTGTATCTTCACCTGAAGGATCAACGAGTTAGAGTTGTTGCAAATATATCAGTAATGATAAAACTCTGTTCCTAGAGTGGCTGGTGACTCAAAAGGGCAAACTCCAATCAAACATTTATCAGTTGATCAAGTGGACTTGCGTGAGACTTCGTTAAAATGTCAGACGCATTATCATTCAAAACAGGGCACTCCACAGGGCAAATTGAAAAATTCAGCTCTGGATCAAGTGGATTCTTTTGTGATGTGAGAGTGATGTGAGGGCTTACAAATGTCCAACTGCGCCCGTCTGTTCACCAGATTTGAGCTGCTTTATGATGCATGCCATTTACACAGCTGGAGACTCCTGGGGGCCATCTTCACAGAACATGCAGAGGCTGAAAGAAGCTCCTCACTGCTTGATTTAAGAGAACCTACTAAAGATTCAGGGCTGCGCCAGGCTTAGTTTTAGGGTCCAATTTTTATTCCAAGAGTAATGCACGAGGACTTTTAGCACCTAAAGATTGTAAGCTGAGGACTCCAACGTCACTAGGACCTGATCATCACCCCAACTCATCGACAAGTAAAACTTTTAATTTTTCAATTGACCTTTTAAGAATGAACCTTAATACATTTTTAATGTACCGGTTGAGCGGAAAAGGGCTCTGTCAGTGTTGCATTATATTTTATTATTATTATAATTCATGCATCAACATGTAAACTGCCGTTTATGCTGTAGATGGATGTGGTTTATTAACTGTCTGGTGGTTTAACTTATTGTCTAACAAAACATTATATTTCAAAGGCTCATTATACATTTTCAAATGTTCTATCTGAAAAGTAACTTGTAACCATGGCAGTCTAATAATGTATCATAGTAAGTAAGTTAGAAAAAGTACAAGTCCGTATAAAGTCATTTTTGAGAACTTCAGTGACTATATGGTTGGATGAAAAATGGTGATCTTAAAAAATAATTGCATTAACAAAATCCAGTGAGAAGAAAACATGGCCATAGTTCAGATAAATCTAGAGAGGCAAAAGCATAAAGCATTGCAACAAACACTCCCAGTGTTCTTTTATGCAGCATTTATAGGCAGATTGTTTTGGCCAGCAATGCATGTATGGAGGATCAGCAATAACATGGTTATTAAGGCAGACATTACTGTTTTATGTCTTGTCTAAAGATGCAGAGAGAATTATTTACGGCTTGAATGTGGTCCTGTGGGGCTCTGAGCAGACATTAAACATGCAAATTTAAATAGGTACAAGTTTATGGAGCACTCGCTGCGGTCGCTTATTCTTTCTCCAATGATGTAGAGTAGAAACAACATCTTTATCACCATGTTTCTGCAAAGTTTCTAACTGCTTAACGAGAATACAAAATAAAAACAGGGGCAAACTAACAATGCCCTACTGTAACACAGAAAACAGGTATACCAATATCATTTGGTAGCAGTATATATAAAGAATAGAAGTACACAATGGCAACATCTGTACAGTATGTTGTTGTGCATAAAAAAGTAATTAAAATGGCTGAAGCTAATTACTTTCAGCAGCTCGGATTCTCAGCTTTTATTATAGACTAAAATTATGAAATCATTACCCTGGCTGTGCATACACAACTTGTTTCATTAAACCTAGTAAATGAGAAAATGTATCCCAAGAGCTGCAAATAAAAGCTGGCCTTACACCAGAGACACATTAATCGCTTTAATGATTGGCTGTGCAATGATGGACAGCTGTTAATATTTGGATGAAACTCATTTATTCTGAAGTGTTTATGCAGCAATAAAACAGTCTTGTCTACAATCCTTTTGGTAGATGACAGAGAAAGAAACTCTAAAATAATCATAATTATTGTTTTCACACATTAGACATTAAGATTGGGCAGTTTTTCTTCTCAATGTGTCGGTAAATTGTTGCAGATTTTTTTCACTAGTTAAACACACCCTTCTACTTCTATCCAAAACGTGTAGAGCGGCAGAATGACGCAAGCACGCTCATTAACACACACAAAATGCACAATTTATTTCCCTTGTCTATAGTATCCATGCACCATAACTTATTTTATCGATAATACCTTTTTTTGGAGCTTTTTGTAAGCAACTACATTCATGCCACACTACCTTCCATTTCTTATTTATTCCTTTCTATCCACCCCTAATGAACATCCTTAGACCCTCTACCTCCAACATCAGTTTTTGGGCCTTTTTCATTAAGCATCCATTACATTTTACCCTCCTCTGCTGCTCTTGTATGCCATCTGCACAGCCAGAAAACCAGCTCGTAAAAATACACTTTTCTTATGGTTCACATAATGACACCCACATACTGTACACTACAAGCACTGAGAGATCAATCCAGCACAGAGCAGCTCAATAGGAACATTAATCTAACACATCAGCCACTGTGGGAGACAAAATATTTCACAGCTCCCATGATGGAGAAAGATCAAATGAGTGAGATGGATTAAGGGACAGAAAGTCAGAAAAGACAGCTAAAAGCCGGAGAAGATCCCTTTATTTCACTACAGGTTTTCTGAACAAAGGAAGAAAAAGTACAGCTTATCGGGAATTTTGGAATGCATAAAGAAAATCAATTTCTGGACATTGATAGATACAGGGAGGACAAATTAAAGGATGGAGGGAGTGTTGAAGCTAAGCTTTTAACTCTGGGTAGTTTTGGATTCTGAATTTAGACGGTGATCAGCATACTGTAATATGCAAGATAATGAAAAGTTATTGTATATTCAAGTTTAAATAATAGGGTAAAAATAATGAGATGCTTCTATAATTCGCTCTTCTTTGGTGGTTTTGGTGAAAAACCACATGGTTAAATGTGATACTTTATTGATCACAGTAGGGTGATTATATTAACACCACCCCGTGATGGAGGGTCAGAGGTCAGTTGTAGAGCAGCTGGTGGAGATTCAGTGAATTGCTTCAGCTGGATGCTGCCTGAAACATCATTTGACACTGAGGCATCTGTTCGGACACCGTTTATCTTCAGTCCCAGACAAAAGCCAGACAGAGAAGGAAATTAAAAACACTCACCGACTCCTCTTCCTGAATCATGTGGACCAGGCTGTCCAGCACTGGACCAAGGTTTCTAAGAAATAGAGGAAAATAGACAGTGTGGACATGATAATTGGACTAAAGTGCACAGATTTTCTATATTTAATCTACATAATAAACATTTTCTAGATTATTTTGTGGAACATCTTGGAATAAAGCATACTCTCTGGTCCTCTTCGCCATGTTACTTAACTAAGTGGACAACTATCCTCAGTAAGGATATATTCAGTGCACAGTACAGTAGGAGGGAACTTGTCCTGTATTCTTACTTGGACTTGATGCTGGTAAAGTTCTTCCCTAGAGACAGGTGTCTGATTGATCTGTTTTTAGCCAGCCACACCAGCAGAGTGGCCAAGTCCGAGTCCAGGCCTGGAGGTAGAGAAACAGGTTAAAAAAGTAAGAAGGTCAACATTTAGTTAGCATGAGGTTAGGGTATAAAAGTTAACTTATTATATTGTACAATAAATAAAATACCACCATACCATTGTCAGAGATGTCTAGACTAGAGATGTTTGGGATCTCTGCAATACAACCTTCAAGGATCTGAGAACCTCCCGACCGCAACTGGGAAGACAGGGGGGAGAATTTTGAACAGTTTTACACACATCAAGTATGTTTGAGACCTTGGTAGAGTGTGCTTTTAGAGATGTGTCTGTTGTTTGTGTTTGTTTTTAGTGTCAGGATGGAACCCTTGTCTTTTTCTCTGCAAACAGAATCTACCTACGGGTACAAATAAATAACCTGAACCTGAACCTGAACATTTAAAACGAAAATGTGTGCGCCAGACTCAACATGCATTTAGTTTCTCAAACACCACTTAGAATAGAATCAGGCAGGAGGGACTTATGAAGAGGGTTTGGTGGTTAGATGACTAACATGCTGATGGTAAAAGACACAATAAATAAAAACACACATCATCCAGAATGAGAAACATGAACCCTCGAGAAAATAGGATCAGCAGAAAAATAAAGCATCTGCCAAAACACACATGCTAGGAGTGAGAAGTTAATTAGGAAGAGTGAGCACATATGTACTTAGACAATGGGCAAGCTTACAGAAGCATTAGGGGAAGGAGAGCAGTGTGTCAGAGCCATGCCAACATTTACCAGCAACAAACCACACAGATGCTTAATGATCATCACCAATGACACACACATTTGAACAAACACACTCAACAGGAGTCACATTCGCGGTGCTTATTTAGCATGCCGTCAGCCCAGATTTTATGCTGCTTCCACCAAACGCCTCATTAAGACCTCGAAAAAGGATGGAACGCATCATTTCCCCCGCATCTTCAGCTTGTGAAGATTTCTATGGGAATCTGGAATTGGATTTCCTGTGTAATTTGTATTCATGAGTTATCTTTAGCAATCCCATTGAATCTTCAGCAAGCTGCCTTTTTTGTTTCGAGCTGAGGAGGAGATGAAGGTGAGGTGCTGGTGTGTGAGACATGCATGTGTGTGTAAGAGTTTTTGATGAAATAATTAGGGACAGAAACTAAAACCCTCCCTCCTGCAGGCCCCTTGTCATCTCTCCCCCTCCACCCCCGCCTGCTGTCTGCCAAGTTTTCCATTACAGAGCCTTTTAACTGTGTCACCGTTCTGTCAAATGGTATTGAGTGGCTCCTAAAAAGCTGATTTCATTCAATGAGTGTTAGCTTCAAACTATTAAAAGAAATACACACTTCAAACTTTAGCTGACAAAGGCAATTACACAAATGCTGCCAATACTATTAAAGTAAACGAATGAAGAAAAACAATCTAGAATATTAACAATTGCCCCTTTGAAATCCACTGGCCGCAGTCTTTTGATCACTCAGGCTCACTGTATTTTACAGCAGTACAGTTTGGCTATGTTACCCAGTAATTGCATCACTGTGTGCATTAAATGTTACAACAGCTGTGGGATCTGCTGTAGGTCTACTCTATTCTGCACCGGATCTAACAAACCCCCTGATATGTCTCGGTGATAAATGTAAAACACGCTTATCCTTAATGAGAGGCTTGAAATTCACAGCTGTCACCAGCAAATGATCCCTCACAAGCAAGGTACAAATTATAAGATATCTTGGTTTTAAATAAAATGATTTATGAGGGAAAACTACTGCACAATGTGTCTCTGTCAGTCTTACCTCACAGCAGCTGAGGTCTAGAGTCACTTCCTTTAGGTTCAGATTACTGGCCAGGCCAAGTAGGAGAGCTCTAAAATAAAAAATGTAGTTAAAGAATATTATAAAAAGATAGTAGATGTATCATTTTGACATTTGAGAAAAGGTCATTGTGTAACTAAATGTTAAATAAAAGCATTAATATAGGTTTCCATGGTTGCCTTTGTCACTGTCAATACCTGAAGTCCAAAACAAGATAATACAACTTGTATCAAAACCCATTAAACGTTCATGTATTGCAGATAAAGCTGCAGGTGCTGTTCTCTGATATAGGCAGACAAGACAAGGGTTTATTCTTACCGTACCTGAAAGTCTAAAAATGCAAAGCTTTACATAGGGATATAGGTAATAAAAGACAAGGAGGAACAACATGAACAGTCACAGAGAATCTGGGGCAGGAGCTCCTCAGACACATTAAATGTGAATGAATTGTTCTCTCACTTGAGGGCCTCTGGCGGCAGCTTGGTTCCTGACACGTTGATGGAGTTCAGACACACAGCGCTGCTGAAGAAATGCTTAAATGATGGTGGAACCTCTTTGCCTTTCCTACAGAAACAAAAAGAAAGCAAGAATCAAAATAATGCAGATACAGTAATTTCTTAAAATACAAGATAATGCTATTCAGAAAGCTCTCTTGATCCAACACTAGAAAAGGCAAAATGATAACCTGAAATTTGGGCATTGAGCTTCAAGTACTCTTGCCATATACTAAAAACCTCAGACCCATTGTAGTTTTTATCTACTGTCTAAAAAACGGTTTAAGCTCCACAAAATAAGGTCTTTAGAGGGTATAACTCAATCCCCCCTCCCATTCTCTCCTCCCCTCTACCCTTGATGAAGTCCTCAATTCCCAAGAGGCACACTGGTAACAGAGAGATAATGATGGGAAAAAAAAACCACCCACCACCCATCTGTTACACACACACACACACACACACACACACACACACACACACACACACACACACACACACACACACACACACACACACACAATTGTGACAACCCTCAGACTCCATTTGATATTTTGACAGTACATTGAAGGAAATAGCAGAGGAAATGAGCAGTGGGTGAATACAGGAAAGAAAAGGATCATAATGTAGAGTGAATACATGCAAAGTGAAAAGAGTATGCATGGTTCTCATGGTTGTGTAAATGTTAAGCCTAAATCAGTGTCACGCTATGTTGAGGGTCATATTTGTATATGCCACAAGGAAATGTATCCAAATAAACTCTTTAATATTTAATATTTATCTGACATCAATCTCATAAAGTGCTGCTATCATCCAAATGTTTAGGATATGTTTAAGAGACAGACAATCTGTATGCATGCATGGATCTCAATTGAATAGTAAGCGTAATATCGACAATCTGGGCGTACAACTGCTGACTCGCGTTACGTTTGTCACATGGCTGACACACTGAACTAGCAGTAAATCACTGCATGACTGTCAAGTGACTGACATGACAAGGGTAGACAGCTTAGTGAAAAAGGAAAAAGGAGAGAAATAACAGATGATAAAGAGACAAAATATTCAACAAATTGTAGTTATATTTAACTGGTCAATGATGCTTCTGCTTCAGCTTCAGCAAACCAACATTATTTAGATCTTTTCTTTTTGCTCTGAGCATTGGAGGCTTTTACAGTTTGGATTAGGGATGGTGCCTTTAACTAGACGAGCGGGGCTCAGTTTAAGCAGCGCAGCACACTCACAAACCCTACGCTGTGAAATATGATAGCTCTTTATCGATTGCCTGAGACCAGAGCATGTTTACAGAGGGTCCCTAAAGATGGAACCTTTCACATTTACTTCGGATGAGAACCAAAACCTGCGAGTGATTGCAGACAATCAATCAAAAAATGTTACAAGAACGACTACGAATGCCCCACATTTTTTTTTTACAGAAGAACAATCAATCCATTTAAAGCATTTCATCAAAGGCAATTACTGAAGAAGGATTTTTGGACTTAATTGATTGAAGTAAAGTGGTCTAGTATGCAGCATTTATGCAAATGAAAACATGCAACACTCACACATTACAAATACATCCTTTCATCTTGCTCCCTCTCACTCAGTGTTAATAGGGCACTAATTAGGTGCCAATAGCATCCCTGCACTAGGTGTGATCAGATTAGTGAAAGATGTGAATTGCATCGGATCATAGGGGGGCACGTCAACTAAAAGACGAACAGGGAAGCCAGCTGATTACAATGCAATATTTATACATGTTTTTTTGGTATGTTCAATGAATCCAACCAAGACCATTTTAAAATCATCCAGCTATCTTAAGAACTGAATAAAAAACACCTACCTTTGGGTGATAGTGAGGTTTTGGAGAAGTTTAAATGCTTGAGCCCCATACCAAGTTTGGCAAACTGAGCACCCAGGGAGGAGATACCTACAGGAAGAGAGAGGAAACAGATTATATTTATAGTGGCTTTTGATCCGACAAAAAAGTACACCTTCTTTAAAAACACACGTTTAAATGTCTAAGAAGGTAAAATGACTAAAATGATACAGTAGGTTTTTTTTTTTTGTTGGCTAAGAACACATTCAACAAATGATTGTGCTACATTTAACATGATAACAAATAAGACAGAGATTGGTAACTCTCAATCTTGGGTTGACTGAATATTTGGTGGAATACATGTTTAATTCATGTGTCCTCGATTGACTGAGAAACCTTAGGAAAAAGAGGATGAAATATTAAACCGGTTGCACTCAATGCAATGTCACAAATCAACCTTAAATGTCATACTCTGTATTATGTTGTCTATGTTGTATAATGTTGCATTCTTAAGCTAAATCTGCTTTATGCATTAAATATTTCTCTTTGGCGCGTTACCCTTCTCTAAAAACACAGTACAGTGGAGAGTATAATAGATGAGTACATTAGACTGCATTAGAGCAGATAGCCTACCTCTGTCCTCCAGTGGGTTGTTGGCAAGATTAATGGTGGTGAGTCCTGAGCTGGGGTTGTGGGCCAGAGCAGCTGCTAGCTTCTGGGCAAAATCACTGCAGAGCGGGAAAGAGCATGTCCATTAGGTGTTTATGACCTATTTATTTATAAATGATTATTATTATGTTATATATAATTTATTTATCAAACGTTTGACGGCATAAATATCCCTCTCTTGCCATGGAAGATGTGAATATGGAAGTTATTTGAACTTGACACAGGAGGAAAAGCACTTACTGAACTTACTTACTGCTACTTTGCTAAGTTTAACATTTCAAATCTTGTAAATTAGTATTGTATTTTGTCATACTTGAGAGAGCTCTGCCATTACTTTTCTACATTATGAGTTAACTGGCCTAGACATGTTAAGTGTAATAATTAGAGGATTTAATAGTTTTTATAATCTCACGTTTTGAGTCCTGCATTGTCCAGAACCAACTCTTCCAGCCGACTGGAACGAGTCACTACCCGAAGAATCTGCTCACACACATCTGCAGACTGAAGACACACACACAAAAAACGAAATAAATGTTGTGCATATACTTTACTCTAGCTTTTGTGATAATGCTCGATACAAATTAAAAGTAACGGTGAAATGAAAGGTAGGACATATAATGTTACATATAATGAGTCTCACACTGAGCAATAAAGTATATCTTAGCTCAAGGATCTGTTAATCAGAAGCATACAAAATGAACTAATTAACCGAACCAGCTTCTAGGGTTATGAAGCAGTTTTATCTAGAACAGCAAAGCCTGGATGGAAACGTTCAAGGTGAGAGAAAACACAGAAATGTACTTTTGGGAACCATAATTCCCGCAAGTGTTGTTGTGCAGAATGCTGTGAAACTACTCTGAAAAGCTTTTCATTTATGCTAATTAAAAGAAGCTAATTAAAGAAAAAACAGCATACGAGTGGATTCTGTCTCTTTTGCTTACAGACCGTTTATGCGTGACAAGGAGGACACTGTGGACTTTAGACACCGTAGAGGGAGAAAAGTTGTTTCGCAGGACAGAGAGTCGAGGGAGCAAAGGCACTCATATTTAGACGAAATGAAAAATTCAACAGTTTGCGCCACACCTAAATGTTCACTGACCCAGTTCACTGTGGCGCTGTGTCATACTCAAACTTAAAGACAAATACTGTGTGCCTTTCTGCAGTATTTCTATTTATTGACGTTACTTATCTTCACTGATTACCAACACAAACATTAAAAGGTCCCATGTCATGGCCATTCCTACTGATCATAATTCCATTGTTGAGGTCTACTAGAATAGATTTACATTGTTCAATGTTCCAAACTCACATTGGTTTCTCATACAGCATCTCTGTATAGTATGTGTATTCACTCTCTGTCCTACACGCCTTGTTGGAGCTTGTGCCCCCCCCCCCAATCCCTATGAGCCCAGTGTGCTCTGATTGGTCAGCTCGCCCACTCTGTTCTGATGAGTCCACCACCGTTACAGCGGAACATCAGTGATTATGTGTTACAATGGCGTTTGTTAGCAACCAGAAAATGACACCAGTAATGACAAACAGATGAGAATGCTGCGTGGGGTCTGGGTGCCGTGTTGGCGGGACGTTGCGGGGCTCGCTGCTCCGCCCTTTGAGGCTCGAGGAGCGGACAGTGTGAGCTGTATTACTAGTGTCGTTTCCTGGTTGCTGCGTGGGGTCTGCGAGACAGCGAGACACCGCGGAGCTCAGCCTGAGCACACACTCACAGCCAGGCTGAGTACATAACACACAAGGGGACAGGTAATAACCGGAAAAGCATGACATGGGACCTTTAAGCAAGATGGAAATAGAACTGTACTGAACCCTTGTCTGGTTGTGACTCTTTGTAATTGACATTCATGCTATAGGGGCAGCCAGGCGCCTCAGTGTGGCCAAAACACTGGACACATTGTCTTACATTGTTATCTACAGTGAGGGGGAGAGAAAACGAGAGAGGGGATGGAGAGACAAAGAAAGAGAGAGATGGAAGAAAGGGACTGTTGTTCACATGTTTATTCTGTGAAACTGTGAGTATTACAGAAGTGGAATAAGAATAATGGAGGGCAGCGAGGGATGACACATAACACAGAAAAAGGACATATGAGGGTAGTGAGGGATGAAATGAAGAAAAAGAGGGGAGAGAGCTGTCAGTTGAGCAGTAGCAGAGGGAGAAAGAGGGAGATAGGCAGCATACAAAGGAGGCTGTATTTTCACAACAAAACAGTTGTGGATGGCACAGTGACAGCATGTGCAGCCAACATTTTCCAGCCATTAAATAAGAGCCGTATCATGCAGTGCTTCTGACCCTACGTCCTGCTGAAATACATCACACGCGTCCACACATGAACATGCTCACACGCTGTGCGATTATGAGGTAATCAGGAGGAGAGTCCTTTCATCACTGCCCTCCTCTCCTCTTCTTCACCTCCTCTCTCGTTTTCAGCTCAGCATCTTGATTAGACCACAAGACAAACAGCCTGATTGAACTGAGGATGAGCAGCATAATCCCTCGCTGTGAGAGCCGGCTGTGTGTGTGAGTGTTTGTGAGGACATGCGTGTAGTATTATCCAGTCCACTGCGCTGAGAGATTGTTTATCTACTTGATTTAGATGGTTGGACTGTATTTTATGCTCAAGGCTTCTGCGCTTAATGTTTCATATCTCTTCCTCTTTCACTTTCTATTTTACATCCCGATTTTGATCCATATACTTTTATTTTAGATACTCCCGAGTGCTCACAGTCAAACATAAACAATAGTTCAGGCTCAGTGTTGCCCTTGAGTTGAACTTTACCATGCCAGAGGATTTGGCAGGAACACCCAGTGATTTACTGCTAGAGATGACGTGCTTTTTTCCAAGCTGGAGATGTGTTGTTCCTCTTCAGTCCATTTCCAGGTCTGGCTTCTCTCTAGAACTGATCTCTCTTTCCTGATACTTGCTGACTCACATCCTTATTCACGTTGCACCTCACCCATTCACCCTGTCCACTGACCTGTCCACTGGCCTTTATGTATCTGTCTCACTGATCTGTTTGCTGTCATCACTCTCGGTTCCCTTTCTTATATTTCTTTCTAACTGTTTCCATTGGCACAGGATCAAAGACAACTCACGCTCCAGAGCATATCATTGCATCCCTGGATTCATTGTTATCACTGTATTAACATGCATACATAAAACAAGGGGAACATAGAACAAAGTTTCCAAAGAAACCAAAGAAAAACTTTGTTTTGCATCAAACAGTAACCAAATAAGAAGACAAAAGCTGTCCCTTTGCATGACAAACAAAACATAACCAATGTCCAAAACAGAACAAGTGGTATCTATGGCTGGACACACTACTTTGCATAAACCTGCACTGACACCTTCCAAACACAAAAACCTTAGGGCCCATTATAATACACAGTAATCTGGGATAGAAAGGGCACACGTTGGCACATGTGCCTGTGTGAGTATTTGAGCCTAAATATGCACATGGCACGGTAGGAGGCAGGATTTTAAACTCAATACAAAAGGAATTGTCTGTGACGGAGAAGTGAGATAATTGTTTGGACTGAGGAAGCTGCGTGTGTTAATTGCTGAGACTGATCGAAGCGTCGAGACGGTGAGTTGGTAATGGAGTGCTGCAGGGGGGCAACAGCCTGAGACATCGAGTCCCTTTGTCTCGTTAGGATTAGGAGTCTTATCACACAAGAACATTGGACTGATCCTCAGTCAACAGACAGGAGGGGAAGATGGAGGGAACAAAGGGGAAATATTCTCTATAGGCAGATACTCTCAGATACAGAGTCAGGCACAAGGTTGAGTGAGAGACATGAAGTGTAGTAAACAGAGACAGTGTCGATATATTTTAAAAATTATAATGATAAAATACAATATTTGTTCTACATTTATTATATTTATATAGTATAATAATAATAATAATGATATAGAAAAAGTAGGAATATGTAATAAACAATAAGCAATAGCAACATATATAAAGCTTTTCCAAAAACTTGTAACAGGATCCATCATTCAACCAATTCTCTTCAAAACTAGATTTAGAAATGTTGACCTTTAGTTTCATGCTAGTTTATAACTACCATGACAGGGTTATAACAATGTTAACTTCTTTTGATCTTTCTTTGATTATATATCTCCAATACTTTGGTTTAATAAATACTAGCTAAACTAATTTCCATCCTATCAGCCTCAGCTGTACTATATTTTTAGTGCTTGTTAACACATGTTATCGTTTTATTAGGCTCAACTATAATGACGAGAATGGTTGGCACTGAGCAATACAGAAAGATAAGCAGTGAAAACATGAGCATGTACAGTAAGCATTGTCATTGTTAGCTCGTTAGCATGCAGCTCAGTTCAGCCTCTCATACCTCATTCACACCAACGCAACTCCGGTTCAAGCTCCGTGCTAGAGCTTTTCAGGTTCAGAACCGGTTCTTCGGTTTAGCTCCGGCTCTTTTCACAATGCCCAGAGTCCGACTGGTGCTGCGTCATTGCGTCATTGCGTCATTGTGTCATCGTTTGCGTCATGACGTAACCGTTTGCGTGCCTGCTTCATAAAGCCAAACCGTGCGGAAACCCCTCACAGCTGACACCGACAACAACAACAATGGCCGATTGTGCTCCAGCTTCCTCTGTACCTCTTCAGAAGACCAGATTCCCAGTAGGTAGCTGGTCTCTTCAGTGGACCACTGCTGCTTGTTAAGTTTCTTCATCGTTGTGTACAAACTGGATAAAACGCCGGCTTTTTGTTGTTGTTCAGGAGTTGATCCCGCCCCTGCCCCCGCCTCGACGTAAGCGTGACGTATGTGGTGCTTTTGCTCTGGCCGGACAATTTTTTGGTGCTCGAAATGAAGCGGATTCCGGAGCTAAGAGGCTGCTCCACTGCGGTGTGAAGAGGAAAACCCGGTGCTTTTCAAGCTCCAGCTCCGAACCGGCGCTGAAACACCGTTGGTGTGAATGAGGTAACAGAGCTGCTAGCATGTCTGAAGAGTCTTGTTTAAACAGTGATTCTCCACATATTGCTCAAATAAGCTGGTGTTAGCCTTAATTGATCACTTTAGACACTATGATAGATGGACAGATACTGACAAAGCTATGTCAAAGCCCTCATCCTACTTTTTATTTCATGAGGAAAAATGCAACAGTAGGCAGAAACCCTGCATTAGTGCAGTAGGAGCGTTCAAATAACGATTACCAGAGAGGAGGAGCATGAAGCCCCAATCATGGAGTTTGTTGTGTAACACAACAGTGTGTGTAACACAACAAACATGACAGAGGATCCGCAATTGCCTGGCCCTTAATGGCTAGCTTTCGCAAGACTATAATAACTACGTTTTGGAGTTCTCCAAACGAGCACAGATATGATTAGTGAGCAAACCTGAGAAGGATTTTAACAAAAAGGGGTACTAACCAGTTTGTAATCCTTGGTGGAGAGCTTAGTAAACCACTGGTTAAACTCCAGGACTGCTATTATAGCGACCAGATCCCTGGGGAGGAGCACACAGGAACGAAAGAAAAGGTCATAGCTTCAACTTAAAATTGTTCTTCACTCGTAGCTGCTGACTTCAGTACATTTATATATTAAAAGTAAATCATGTGACACTTGCAATACCTTTCTTAGCTTTTCGTTGTATGGTTATACCAACAACATTCTTTGTTTCTGTGCCAACACTCACCGGTTCTCCAGATGGCTGAAGTCCTGCAGGTTAAGTTCTCTGGTGTCTTGTGTCAAATAGATGGTGTCCACATCCTGGGAAGCAATCAGTTAACCAGAGTGTTAACAAACATGTCTGCTATCTAAAAAAAATAACCCCATTAAAAATAGATTTCAATATACATTTATACTGTGTATGACACAGAGCAGTAGAAACATAACAGAAGACTCGACCTGACTATATTTATTTCATTTTGGACAAGAAGGAGCAAGAGCATGAGAAAGACCTTGGGAAATTAAAAGATATGAAGGAAACTGGTACTTTATTCATATACAGTTGTCTTTCATATTTATATATAGTCTTTCATCTTCATCAAAGAGCTTTATGGAGTTTCTTTCAGCTATGTGCAGCTATTCTCCAGCCTTGAAACACAGTTGAACCAGGATATGCTGTGCCACTACACAAAATAATGCAAATGATACTGACCCACTGTACTTCTTCTTTGTACGGCAGCCCCAACCAGTCACACACACATCTGTACATCTGAGAAAACCCACCTAAAGAAAAGGATACACAACATTTACAAAAAAAACATTTGGATGAGAATGTCCATATTGCCAAAGACCTGTTTTCAAGAGCTTATGGTGCAAACTGCATGCAATTTGAAACTACAATTTATTTCAACACAAAGGACAATTGCGTTAATAAACTATGTAAAACTACAACACTGTTTATGTAAACTCATTGTAAACTGACTGTACCATCACAACTCACACACATTACACGTTACTAAAGCATTGCCATAAGGAAGCACACAGTAATTGAGTCACAGATTCCTACCACAGGGTCCGGGCTCGGCCGGCTTGTTGTTCTCCCACAGAGTCTGCAGAGAGGTCAGCCTGTCCGGAGGCTCCATGGTGAGCTTCTTCATAACTTTACTGAGAAGAGAAGAGAGATTAAACCGAATTTAGCCATCCCATTTTTACATTTCAACAAATATTAATGCTGGTGAAATGTTCAAAAGCTCTTAATCCCTTTAAAAGCAATTTCAGGCTACTTTCTCACAGTCTTACTCGAAACAGGCATTTTGAAAGCAAACGTGCTGAGTACTCCAATTAACTAGACCACACAATTAATGTAAAATAAAATCATATCAAATATGACGCTCCAAAATACAAACATCAGCCTCAAGCTAAAGTCAAACACCTTCTTCTGTTCGCAAGACCAGGTTATAAAAGTTTATGGTTTTACATCTGTGACCATTTCTGCATTTATATTCATGCTTCCTGTTCACAAGATAACTTATTAAATAAAGTTCACATCCACATAACACTAGATGCATGTCTTTTTGGACATACAGTACATACGCTGAGACTGAACCACAGCAACATTTAGAGTGAAATGTTTCCGTCTGTTGCACCAGGTTTAACTCCAGGAGCGTTTTTAGGAAATATTTAGAAAAACCACAAAGTATAACATGCAAAACCTAAAAGTACGAGTGCACAAACTCACACGAATCTCTAACCATGACTGGTGCATTGAAATACATCTAGAATAAAAACACATGAACTGTTATGCAGTACATGTTAACTCACCCAGGTGGAAGGCCGGGACATATCCTGAGCAGACAGTTTCCTATGTGAGCGACCACCTCATTGACCTCCTCTGTAGACAGCAGCTTCAGAGAGAAGGAGCCACGCTCGTACTCTATGAAAAGCTAAAAGGAGACATCATTAATTAGTGATGCACAGAGGCATGCATGGTTTCACCCGAACCTGCTTCAACCACAGTTATACTTATTTAGATCAAAGAGTTAGTCTTCCTTCTTTCTTTACCATGTTCCATCCACTGAACCATTCTGGCTTTGAAAAATAAATCTACCACTTTTTTGTCCATCTACTCCACTGATCCTACCCACTAATAATATCATTCATAAGAAATAAACCATCTCCATCTATCCACTCAACCTACATTTACATCCCACATCTTTGTCCTAAGTTAACGTAAAGATTTAATGACATTTACCAAGACTGCATAACCACATCAGCGCTCTCTCAATTATGCAAATGCTGATGTAAGGAGATACATGCCTCCTCTATAGGCCAAAATTAACATAATCCTTGCTGATGCTTATTCAACATGGGAGACCATCAGTCAAGATATTAAAAGGACTGACATCTCTCCAGAAGAGCGGGAGAGAGGTTCAGCTGCAGGAGCGCTGCGGTAAGTGACGGATTATCATATTTTGTAGGTAGATCCTGCTGACTGACAGCTGGCCAGCACTGGTTAAAAAGTCAAATGCAAGATCTTCCCAGATGGGAAACATCTTTTGTGGATACAGTCTGTCTCATACATTAATCAGTTTTATTGATTGTTCTAGCATATTTTGCTTTCCATTCTTTTAGTGTAGTTCACTGTCTGTCCACTACAGTTATTTGTACCAGCTTTGCTCTTAAAATGTAGAAGTTTGGTACCTAAATCCACTAACATCACTCCTGCTCAGGTTTCACTTAGCAAGACACTAAAGTAACTCACATTGGATATTATATATATTGTTATTTGGTATCAGTATTATGGACAATGTTTTGGTGTTCATATTGTGTACCTGTGTAGGCTTGTTACAAGCAATACCCTGGATCTCCAGGTAATTAAAGCAGTGTTCCACCTACAAAAAAAGCACAGAAATCACCATTAGAAAGCTTGCACACTGTCAGATATAGGCATGACCTGGTAACATCCTAAGCTAAAGGAATAATGCAATATTCAATGACTATCTGAGTTACTGTTTATTACAGAACATAAATTATGTTACCACACTGTCTCCGACCTACTTTGAACAAAAGGCAGCTTTTAACAACATTCAGGATAAAACATTTATTTAAAACTGCAAATGTATGTTGACATTCAGAAAATGTAAAACAGTAGTTGAATTGGCAGAAATTGAATTAATGTGCAAGTGTGGCATCCATGTGAATGTGTGAGACCATTCAGTATGTATACTTTATCTTTGAGAGTAATCGTGCCTAATAATAACATCAGCCAAGTGAAGTGACTGTCTGTCTGGGGAATGCTGTCAGTAAATATGCCTGTTCTATAATGAAACGATATGGATGCAGTTGTTTCTTCTTGCTCCTGTGCAGACTATTTCATCACTGACTCAAACATTTGCATTGTATTTCAGGGCAGCAATAGAAACATTTTTAGATAGAAATTCAAACTAAGGTTCGGTAATAAGAAACAGTCACCTAATTGTTTGAATAAATCAGTGTTTCCCCGTTATTTTCTCTCAGCAAGCTGAATTAATAAAAAATGCAGCCACTCTGGGATAAACTGTTCATTTGCTAAGCATTTGTTCTTAATTGATGGCAGATAAATACGGAGAGGACACACCTTGAGCATTATCTTTTCTCTTCAGCTTGCCTTCTGAATTGTTTGAATCTACAAGCAGTTGATTTCAGCTTTGAGCTTTGATACGAAATAGAAGTTATTGAAAAAAGCATCCCCTCCATTTCTTAATTCACATCCAAAACCCCCTTTCAAAATAAGTCAAGCTAAAAACAACAATAACAGTTTAACAGCTACACATTTTTTATTTCTGTTTAAAGAGAGAGCCTTTCAGAAGAAAAAAAAAGACTGCCTGTCTTTCCATCCCTAAAAAGGAAAGGAACAGATCTCCTTTAATGAGAGTGGGTGAATTTGTGAATACAAATGCCTCCCACTGTATACGGAGCAGACAGTTCCCTGCACTCCCTCTCCATCTCTCTCTCCTATTCTCAAACACAGACGTGGTGCCGTGCCGGAGGGCAGGCCAGCGAGCGAGGCCAGACTATTCCAGGTGGGCTCAGTGTTCCTGAGGCTTGGCTGGGAGATGAGAGGAGGGAGAGGATACAGACTGTCTGTCTACTGTCTGAATACAGTATGCAGTGTGTGTTTATTTTACAGCACTGCTTGTGGTTCCTATCTCATGGTCAGTCTACGAGAAAGAAATATACTCCACATGCGAACATGCACACACATAAGCATTCATTTTGATTTAGTTACCTACTCGTGTGGAAATGAGTCTATTAGACTAAAACACAGTTAAAAATAAATCTCATTCAGATAAAACACAAAAAGACATTTAGAATTTAGCAAGGCAAAGGGCCAAAAGAAAACGATGGATTGATTCAAAATGTGTTAATGATGTTTAAAGCAAGACTATGTAACTGCAAAGAATTTCAGTAAAGAAAAGTTGAATTTATAAAAATGAAATCACACTCATTGAGCACACAGGGGTTTAGATGTTACAGCCTTTCTTTATCTGAGAGACCATAGCTTACAGTATGGTGGCTAATGTTAGCAAGCTAAGAGAAGGTCAAATGCTTGGATATCTATGTGCCACACTATTTGGGCAAATTGTTCACACATTGTGTAATATGCTAGTAAATGATGCTGTAAATGTGTTCTAGGTCACATTGGGATGTTTTTTGTGTTACATGTTTACAGTAGAGTTAAAAAATGGCATTGCAGAATTTTTTTATTTATTTCTGACATTCAGGAATAGTACTTATTATAATAGTTAATAATCTATCAAAAGTGTATTATCTATGTTTCATAACCTACTAACCCAGGTATGATGGGAAAGTCAAGTTAACAGACCTTGCATGTCTATTCTATGTGCAGCCACCAGGTATAGTATACAAGCTGGCACAGTAGTACATTCACAAGTTCAGGACTCTACTATTATATACTGTATAATATAACTGTTTTGCTCTGTTTTAGAATACACAGTAAACAGAGTCTAAGCATAACTAAAACAGGGTCAATCAGTTCACTTTACAGAGCAAGGACTGGTATGATATTCCACTGAATTGAGCGCCAGCTAATCACAAGTGAGCACCACTGATAAATATGAAATCCAGCCAATGGCTAGACTTCACGCTGGGAGGTGTAGGGAGGAACCAAATGTTAGTGATTGCATTGTTCACTCAGTCGTTTACAGTCCGTCTGTCATTTTAACACAACCTCTTCACTTTAGTTTTTTCTGTATTTTCATGGAAAACACAGGTTAAGTATGTTCATGCATGATTTTTTATGTACAGGAATTTAACTGTAGATGTTGGGATTTATAAACATTAACCAGGACGTGAGATTTGTCAGGTTTTATGGGATGGTCTGCATTATGTTATCAATTGCTATGTAATGTTGTCTGCGTACTATATCTAAGTTATGAAAAATGTATGCCCAGCCTGATCTTTTGTTTTAAAAACTCACAAATGTCTGACATAAAGCAGAGAGAGATAAAGACGGGGTATACAGGTATGTGGAATATACAGCAACAAGAGGCTACAGAAAAAAAGAGTCAGGGGAGGGAGATGAATGAAAGAGAGAGAGAGCATGTGGGCATGTCTGGGAGGAGGCACTGACAGACTGTAAGGCCCTGCAGCCTCTCAAGAGGAGCCAACCATCAATTGGAGGTGCACAAAGGAAACCTTGGTGAGAAGTGAATGAGAGGGCTATAGGGGGAATTTCTACTACAAAGAAAGATACACAGAAAAGTGTTAAACTAAGGGTTTACTGCCACTGCAATGTGTTTACTTTAATATTAAGGCCTTGAGCTTAGGAGAACAGTACTGACGAAATCCACTCCAACGGATTGTTCTCGTGTGTGTTTAGACGCAACTCTGGGATTCCAGACAGAGCATAAACTCAAATGGTTAAAAGTATCAACAGCCATTATCATCCAAGCTTAGATTCAACAAAACTGATTTAGCAGTAAACTAGTAAACTGAATATACAGAGGATGTATACAGTCAATAGCTCGTGTGTTGGAACAATGAGCAGAGGCTAATCTTCATTTACTGTTGACTTATCTCCACTGTAATATATATATTTTACATTACAAAAATCAATACCAAGGAGAAATACTATACCAGTCAGCTTTTTTTATGGATGTTGCTGTGTGCTACAAGACACTCACACAACATTTGCATTACTGGTAATGGGAAGATCTGAAAAATAACATTTTTTTTTTATTAAAACCTTTACATTTTGGAATTGTGTTGCAGAAAACAAGCCATTTTAAACATTATATTTGTAATGGTCTTTTAAACACAGATAAAGATGAATTAATAATGTAAATAATATATTAAAGTGGATTTAAGACAGTGTAGGTTATCCCTGCTGACCTTTGGCACAGTGATAAGAGGGGGAAGAAAACCAGATAGATAAAAGGGGAAAAACACAGAGCGAGAGACAGGGATGAAGAGAAGAGGAAGTAATCTGGTTTGTTGGAAAAGCAGGAGAAAATGAGAGGGAGAAAGCTTGACGAATCGCTTAAAGAAAGAAGGAGAGCAGAGGTGATCTGATGTTGTAATCTCATCTGGCTAAGCAGAGCCAGGGAAGAAAGGGGTAGAGCTTCTTCTTTTTTCTGAACAGAGGAATTTTGCTTTTATTGTGGAAAAACAACTCAGAGACAGACATACTGTAGCTACGTCATGCCTCATCACCTTAAGTCTAATATATTCAACCTTAAAAGGGCCTCTTGCTTCTACCAAATTAAATTCACAAGATGCACCTTCAAAATGTTCCATAACAAAATGCTGCAGCAAGATAAAAGAACAACAAAGAAGTAAATAAAATTAGAGACAGACTTCTCGAACAGTACTGAAGAAGCGAGGAGCGTTGTTGAGCAGGTGTGTAATCCCTTCAACGCACAGATAGAAAACAGATGCAGAGGCAGCTAAATCAACAGATCCTGAACCTGCAGCTCATAACACTGGAAACATCTGATGTCAAGTGAAATGGGGTCAGCTTGAATATTCTTTATGGCCTCTTCTACCCCGAGTAATACCATAAATCAGTTTTCAAGCTACTAATCAATCACCTAAACTGTCCCTGAAGGCATCGTATTGACTGGAAGACAAACAGCTTTTTGAAGGGAAGTTGTTAAGTATTTCCTGGACCTGTTACAAGAGATGATGTGATGTTATCACATGGCTTTGGGAAAATACTGTGAAATGCTACTCTTTCCTACCAGGAGGACTGGTTTGCAGTCTGTTTTCATATACAGTCCCAGCGCAGTTTCCTTTTGTGAATGTGTGCTTTTGGTTTTTGTGTAAAATGATGTCGACATGATGTATGTGACATTTTATAGCTGCACTGCTGTAACTGAAGACACCATTAGAACAGTGCACAAATGAATGAGAGGTTTTACATTGTTACATAATTAAGATATATATATATAATATACTTATTTATATAAATAGTTATCAACGCAATAAACCGTATTTAATTGTGTCTTAATTTAAATTATTTGATTTCATATTCTGTTTTTGTACATATCATATTCTATTTACATGTTATTTTGTATTTTATTATATACGTTGGATTGTTGGAGGAGCTCAGGTCATAAGATTTCCATTGCCATTTCTAGACTGTAGCCTTGTGGATTTGACAATAAACCTTTGAATCTTGAAAAATATATTATGATATATTGGAAATCTTTCAAATAACTACGAAGCACATTTTCAGGGGAAATTGTTTTGTGTATAATAAACTTTTAAAACTCAAATTTCAAGTCCCTTTTTATATCCACTTATCTAGTTTGAGAAGATGTTGAAAAAGAGTTTGATAAACTATTCAAATGATGCAGTTGACCTAAAAGTGAAGACATATTTTTAAATATTTACTCATCTGACATCATGCAGTATTTTGATTTGGAATTAATTTATAGTTGCTGCTCTTACCTTTGCTGGAATGCGTGCTGTCAAGAGGTAAGCTCGGTGGGATGCAAGGGCCTGACAAGAGAGGGAGAACAGAGAGAATAATGAGTATGTAGCTGTAAACACTCTGACCAACACGCATAGGGAAATGACAAAGAGCGCAGAGTTAGCCTGTTGACTCATCCAGAAAAAAGGCTTGTGACTCCAACACATTTCAGTCAGTATGGAAAGACACAAAATACATGACAATGAAAATAAATTATGTTCTCTACTCTAAAAAACTTATAAACAGACAGTGACATTTACAGAAGTGCCTGCTCTAAAGGAAGCCATGTTGCCATTGTTTTCATTGAACCACCCCTAATGAGTTGGCAATTACAGGTCAGTATGTGTTATCTTATTTGTGTCTTTCTGTCTGCTGAGCAACCTGGGAACCGGCTGCCACTGTTACATTAATTAGAACACATGGTGAGGACTTAGCTGAAGAGGCATTACTGGAATGCATAATCTTGACCTTCCTATCCAGACGAGCAGCCTTAAAGGGCCTTACATCTGGTTCACTGAGAATGCCATTACATGTGATACTGTTAGAGATGATATGTGGTAACACTAGTCTCTGGTAGTCAGTATATTAGAAAACATTGTTGCAAATCTGCATACAAATCTATCTAATCCTTACGTATACAGTCTACGATAGAAATACAGTATTTGGTAAATATTTGCGCCCTACACAATGTGCCATTACACTGGACTTTCAAAAATGTTAACACTATCATCTACCCTCTTGACCAAAAACATCCCGGTTGTTAAAAAACGCATGGGGCACTATCATCAAAGCTAAAACCTCAATACTCTCGTACAGTAGCAAGTCATGTCTTTTATCATTTCTTTCACTCTGCACTGACAGCATACTGGAATTAAACTGTAATGTCATATGCTGTCTAAATGTCACCACTGTACGGCCCTCATGATAATCTACACCTGTTGGTTTTGTGTAAAAGTCTCAAAGGAAGTTAAAATGTCAGGGGATGAAAGAGGGAACATAAGGATGAAAGGAAGAAAAAAGAAAAGCTGGTTTAGAGGGGATAAAACATACACAAATAAGTGTGTAAGGGCAAGGAAGGGAGTAAAGGAATAAAATAGTCTGAGAGCACACCATAAGAAACAAGTTAAAGTAAAACAAAGTCCAGCATGAAGGGCAACAAGGAAAGGGAAAATAATTGAAGAGAGAAAACAGGATAAAGGAAAGTCTTGAAACTGTCACAATCTTTTTGAAGATGCAAAAAAATAAAAAAGATAGATTACTATTAGATAATCTTAAATTAAGGTCTTATTTTGATATAGGTTTGGCCATCAGTGTTCACAACATTGGATTCCCTGATCATTTAGAAAAGGTTTATTTTCAACATATATCAGAGAAAATGTCAGAATGTCACAATCTTTGGTGCAAAGATAAAAAATAAAAGTTGGAATGGCCCTAAACTGTATCATCATCTGACTCCCTATTACTTGCCCTGTTGGACCTCATTATCAATGTCACTTCAGCAATCACTTTGGTGCAATCAATGTCAACGTACTCAAAAGAAGTTCCAAAATGTAATTATATTATATTGCAGTATTGTCAACAAAGCAACAGCACAATCATATCTTTGTAAAATATATGGACTTCTGCAGTCTCTCAGAAGTTGTGGAAATAAAGAGTTTGGCTGCCTAGACATCAGAGATAGGGAACAGACATCCGTGACACAAAAAAACCCTTCTATCTTCTGTAGACAGGAGGCCTGGTTGTGTGTGTCGAACAGCAGAAAGTCATAGTTTTATTTATTTACATAAAAAAACACCAGGTTTTATCAAAGGACTTCTGAACATCAGAGGGGTTTCCCGGAGTGAAATAGCTACAGCTGCAGTCACAACAATGACCAAGAACCGCTGACTGGACCAACTGACCGCTGAGGCTTCATCTTTACTGTCCAGTCTCGAGAGGGTGGTAAATAATGACATACTTAGTCAACTATTGCATTAAAGGACATGTTTATGACTTCCTTACAAATTGAATTCAGTGCACTTAATGGCTTGTTCAACCTGTATTAATACTGATTCATGTTGGGTTTCCTTCAGTTTTTCACCCTCCCCCTGTATACGTGTATGCATGACTGCCCCTCTGCACTTTGCCAGGACCCTCTCCATCTGCTCTTTCAAATGGACACAGCCATATCACCCTCCTGTTTCATGTCAGAGTGGAGTACACATTTCAGAAACTCATGAAATAAAATGTTGAGTTTCTTAATTGAGCTTTACTAAAGCTGCCTGTTATGTTGTTAACTGGAGCTGTGCATGAACCTTGTGTTGTATAAGACTTTTGAAATATTTTTCTTAATGTTGATATCGTCCCATAAGAGAAGGGTGTTTTTCTCTCTCTCTCTGCTGTGACTTAAGTGGACTAAAAGCCTTGAGCCATCCCATCAGCAACTGATTTCTCAGCGACCATCATCCCGCCTTCAGTTCCACTCAGCCAACCAGATGGCAGCAGCATTGGAGCATGTCCACAAGACCAGAGAGCATCTGCTGTCACACTCTCTCTCTCTGTAACACACACACACACACACACACACACACACACACACACACACACACACACACACACACACACACACACACACACACACACACACACACACACACACACACACTAAAGTACCATTTGTCTCCTTGGCCAGCCACACACACACATCTAATAATAAAATACAAATTTGACACACACTTCTCTTATACACGCACAGTACACGCACAGTACACACACAGTAAACACACAGTACACACACAAACAGCAGTAGTCCTTTCATGGTATTGCCATTCCCAGATTATCTTTTTTCCTGTCAAATTGTCAACCGCACATACCCCCCCCTCAAACACACATGTGCACACTCACACACTTTGAGTTACTATGGTAACAGCTAGCCCATACTTCACACATACATTTGTGAATACATATTCACACATACACACACACACACACACACACACACACACACAGTGCTAGACCCTCACACATGAAAGAAGCTCGCTGCAGAGCCAAGTCTTGCTTGAGAATGTCAATGAGTTTTTACCCCGTAAACCAGATTCACGCTGGCCTAAAGTTAAGCTTCCTCTCTGTAGGAAGCAAAACAGAGCAGTGTTTCATCTCATTCAGCTGTGGCAGCACTGCAGGAAATCTACCCCCACCAGAAAAATGCTTTTATTCATCCATCATGTCTTGGGGTGTATTCACGCTTTATTATTTCCATCTATCACACTATTACACCACAATTTGTTTTGGTGAGAGCAATATCATTCAAAACCCTGATGGCACCAAAAAACATTATAAAAAATACTCATACTGGTTTAATTCAAGTTTTCACATTTACTGGTTCTACAGTAGTTTCATAAATGGAATTATTTGCTGATCTTGGACTGTGGACTTAACAAAACAAACAATGGTTGGCAAACTTATCTTGGGCTCTGGGAAACTGTGAGGGTCATTTCCAATCATATCTTGAAAATAAATAAAAATAGAAATAATGCAGTGAAAAAAAAACCCAGACACAATTACATTCCTCCCTACACCGCTGCTGACACAGACTCTTTATTGCATAGCTAATGCCAGTAGGTCCTGCATGCACATTTGTGTCTGTGCGCAACATGAATGAGTCATGATGTACTGGCTGCAAACCGAAACTGTCTACACAGCAGAGCAGGATGAGAGTATTTTTAGGAACAAGCAAAAAAAAGAGAGAAATAGAATGAGAAAGAGAGAGAGAGGGAGATCGGGCATTGTGGACAGCAGAGTGGACACCAGGGAAACGGAGCGTGAGAGAGTGAGAGAAGCAGAGGCGGATGAAGGGCAAAGAGTGAAATTACTTAATAGATTCTAAGTGCTGTTATGCTGATAAGGAGCCAAGATTTAAATTCAATCAGAGAAGCAGATATTTAATGAAGGGAAGTGTTTAAAAGCCGTTTCATCTTGGTTCAAACCAATTCTGCTAGGATGACCCCATCTTAGCATTTGAGAAATCAATCAGCTCACCATGCATTCATTCATCTTCTCCTGCACTTCTTTCCTCTTCCCTCCCATTATCTCTTAATGTCCTCAGCCTTCTTTAGCCCCATCCTTTTTCGCGGGATTATAAACAATCACCTTAAAAACATACTTACACTATATTATAACAGAAGGTTATAAATGGTCAAAAGGGCAATGACGTGCCTTTGTTGTTGTCTACAATGTGAGACTTTATGCTGTGGAATGTATGACTATTGGATAATCAAACCATCTCTGCACAGTAAAATCCATTCTGTGAAAGAAATGAAAGCATCAGCAGCATGAAGAAGTGAATACTGTAAAAGAGACTCACACAACATTACAGATTGTAAAGGTAACATGAAATGGTTTTCTCTCTTTTATTTCTCTTTCCATACTATATTTGTGTTACTCTTCCCTTGTTTACACAATACATAAGAATATGCATAGGCTTGTGTGGTGCGTGGGTGAACGAATTCAATTGAGGAGGCTTGTGTGTATCTTGAGACATGCAGCAGAAAAAAACAAACACACCATCCCGCTTTCATCTATGATAATCAGGGATGGTGTAACTCAGTGTAAGAGAGGAGCAAGACTCTCCAGGCTGTTTTTCAACAGGCTAACATACTGTACAGCAGCAAGTATACAAGGCAGACATACATTAGATTATCATTAGCAAGGTAGACGTATTTACAAGTCCATGCATTTGAGGTGAGATTTATGCTCATCAGGCTTTCTTTCAAACTGTATTTATTTATTGGTGTTTTTTTTTGTTTTTTTTAAATGGGACCTTCCATTCATTCTTTTTTGTTATGTTGTTTTTCGACAATGGCTTCTTGAAATTCAACATTGGGCTGCTGCAGGTGATGTTGTTCTCTCTCTATAAAGGTTTTGTTTTGGTCTCTATTTTGAAAAGTAATTTATGCTTGTCTGGTTTCTTGTCAGTTTCAGGATCCATTTCCAATTTGGTCCAACATTTTGGATGCGTAAAGACCTCTAATGTAGAGACAGTTCTTGAAAA